TGCTGGGGCTCAACCACTCACGAAGCTCTTGGATGTACTCAAGAGACCGTTGCTCCACGCTCTTTGGGGCAGCAAATGATGGCCTTGCATTTGTCCTGGGATTGATTTAGCATGCTCACCTTTTTTGAAATGGCTTGAACATGTTGACTTGAAGTTTGATTGATTTTATTCATCTTACATTCAATTGAGTCAAGTTGATCAATGATATGACAAGACCTGATGCTTGCACACTGACTGAATATGTACTTTATCCAAGCAACCCAAAGTGGGAAGGGAGCAGAAAGCGGCAGCCAAGAACGAGGGCGGAGACGATCACAGCAGTTGCTGATCTGTGCAAGCCCTTGGTGCCTTGCCCAGCAGCAAGTGCATGCAATGGCCCAATTACAATAGAAGTGCAAAGTGCAAGCAACTGTAAACAACATACACAAACTCAATACAAACGCATGTTCTAACCAACTTTACACATGACTCAAGGTGTCAAGGTGCAATCATGTTCTACACTCAACTACACTCATGTTCTAATCTCTTTGTGTCAAGGTGCACACAAGACTAAGCACCAGCTTCTTGCCATCCACATTGATGTGGTGCTTCACCATCCCCACCAAGTACTCCACCACCTTCTGGCAGGCCTCACTCCACGCAATTGCCCTGAAGGTGTCCGCATCCCTGGCCACATTCCCACCTTGGCTCATGAATCAATCAAAGACTCGAATAGTCGCACACACTTTGACTTGCACCTGGTGAGTGGACCTGGTGAGTGACATGTGCAAATGGTTCACATTGATCACAAGTCCTTCAGGTGACACTTGCTTCATTTTAATTTTGCTTCCCAGGCACTTACACGACCAGCAGGATCTTCCTCCCACAGCTGCCTAATGTCAATGGTGATGTGGGTGGCATCTGGAAATTCGCCTCAGATGGCCAACAGCCAACAGTTTACTTTCAACCAACCAGTCTGTCACTCAATCCAAAAATCAATCTTCGCATGAATCATTGAACAAATGAACCCATTGACAAATGAATGATGAAGCATGAATGAACAACCACTCAATAATAAGTCAAGCAGTCAATCAACAAATCAACCAACCATTGCTTTCCCCCCATCAATTGTCAACCAACAGGATAGCTATGAATGATTGAACTCAATTCAATTGTGTTTTGCATTCAACAAATTTAATAAGTGACAAGACTCGTTTCAGAATGCCAGGCATGCAAGTTCTGCCCTTGCCACCAGATTTGCCACCTTTGCCATGTTTGCCACCACCATAAACAAAGTCAACGCCCCATGCCACCAGGATGACATCGTTCACTGATGTCATTCATTGCTACACAGTAGTGAATTGACATGTTCAAGTGCCAACACAATAGTGATGTGACATGCCACCATTTTGATTGTGCTTGTAATGAAGTGACTGACAACTTACTGTACTCATTATTGTTGGTGTAGTTGATTGACTAGTGCCTAAGATGTCTTCAGTTTACAACAATTGCTTGAATATATTGAATAGTTGTTTTTCTTGTTTGAATATCTTGGCTTGATGAGAAACAACTCGCAAAAGACCAAGCACATCACAACCTGCAAAATATTATATTGATTGATTCAGGCGCACACTCCATGAACCAATTCACACTCACTCACAATACCACATCTTGCTGAACAAGAAATCCCAATGCTACCTCTCAAACTCTCCCACAACTGTGAAACCGACACTTCCCAGCTGTTGGCACCTCAACTAAACAGTTCCGCAAGTGTCATCAGCCACAGAAGCCTCAGGTCCCAGTGTGAGCATTTGGTCTCTGTATGTCTCCGTGTCATCACTACCTTAAATCACTCACTTTTCACATTACTGAACACAATCAATTCAATCTTGTCACTTGAACTTTGTCAGCCACTACCCCTCAATTCAATTTCAATCACTCCAACTTCACTCAGTTCAACTCCAAGGCATGTGACACAATTGTCATGTGTATTATTATTCTGTGGATTCCTTTTATATGTTGGTAAACAGTCAGTTCCAAGTCAATCCAACAGTGGCACAAAATGCTAACACCTCAAGAGACAACGTTGACATGTCTTAGAGTCTTGATTGAACTTGAATCAAATTGTACTCAATTCAAACAATCACCTCTACATCACCCACATGCCAGAGATGAGGCGGGGGCAAAGGCATGCTCACAAGTCCAACCTCAGGCGGGCAAACAAAAGAAACACTCCCACTCATTGTGGAGATTGTATGTATGGTTGCACAAGTGCGCAAAAGAAACATGTGATCGAAACTTGTGAATGAGATTGTATGAATGCACAAGTGCACAAACTGAGTCAATGTCAGTTCATGAAGGCCAAACAGATCAACATCAATCATGCCACGCCCATTACCACTTCTAACTCCTGCCAGCCTATAGTCAACAACATGCCATGAACAATCAATCAAGCATGCCATGAACAAGCATTCAACAACAACATGCCATGCTCACATCAATGCCATGTCACCACAAGCCACTCAACGCCTTTTTTCTCACTCCTCAACTGTCAAAGCCGGCATCGCTACTAGGAGCAAGGATGCTTCTAGGGGCTCCTGATCAGCAATCAGTGCCAGGATCATCCACCAGAGTGATCGTCGCCGGGACCATCAGGAAGCCAAGACATTGCATGCTCAAGCTCCGTCCTCAGAATTCATTCAGTGGTTGCACTGGACACCAAGTATTGACTGAGACCTATTATTATTGATTGAACTTAGCCAGCACCAACAACCAAACAAGTAAAGTCTTCCAACAATCAAACAATACCAAACAACTACAAGTCTCCAGACTCATCTGTCACGATGGAAAAGATCGGGCCATCTCCAAAGTAGTGCTGCATGACAAACATCTGGCCTTTATAGGGGACTGCAACCTTGTCAGCGGCTCTGGTCCTCCACCAACAGTTCATCCTGTCCACCGCCGCCTGGGTCACATCCTCTTTGCCCATGCCTTCCAGCAGCAGCCATACATTGACAGCGTTCTCCTGGAGGCTTTGGAGCTTCCCACAGCCAATCCTAAGTGACAGCAAGGGATGAGAGACTTCAGTCACCTGGACAACTTCCAATAATATTCAGAAACCTTGAATCAGTCCACAACATAAGACTAAGACATAGGTGATCCAGTGACCTCAGACTGAAGGAACCCAGCCAAACTACTTGCAGCCAATGTTCCCAAGCACTCGATGACGAACCGCTGCCTCCAACGGAATCACAAAGCATCCAGGTCCATACCTGATCAAGGCAACAATGCATGCAACACAGTCAACACTTGCGTGAAGTCAGCATGAATCAACCCATCAACAACCCTTGCACTCAGCATGTGATCAATTGCCCTTGAACTCAGCATGCACCAAACTGTTACAGTTGCCCTTGAACATGAACCAAACACATCAATCTAAATCATGATTATGCCATGGCAAAGAAATCAAAAGCAAGGCACACTCTGTGGTTGTAGTGCTCTGTAGCACCACCAATATCGCTGTTCTCAGACAATGCCTCCAGCAAGTTCACTAGCCTTGGATTCCACATTGAAGGATTCCCAAGTAGCACCCATGACTGCCAGGTAAGCAGCACCCAAAACATAGTGACATCTAAAACTGCCATTTCTGCCAAGTAGCAGCATGTTATCCGTCATGATCCTTTGCGCCTGGTCCTCCGTGGTAGGCCTCCTCATCAAGGCCTCGAGGTAGGCCCGGACCAAGCCCACCGAAAGAAACTCCGACATCGCAGCCAGGATCTGCCAACTACAGCTGCCTAATGTCAATGTGATGATGAGCAGTGAGTCAGAGGTGTTGTTGTGATATGTTGTGAAGTTCCAGTGAATGGATCATTCTGAATGTGAAGCTCCAGTGAATGTTGTGAGTTTCATGTGCATGATTGTGCATATCAGTGATGTGACATTTCATGGCTTGCCCTGTGACTGTGCATGGAGGTTGTCTCTGAACCACTAGTGGCAAGAGTTTGAGGTTTAAGAGTGGGTGCAACCCAACCACTTAAGTGAATCATCAGTGAAGCTGGATCTCTTGACAAAACTCATTGAGGGCCCCAACCAGGAGAAGCAGCGTCCCACATTTGCCAAGCCCAGTCACACCTGAATCCAGCGGTGACATATCAAGGCAACGGGTCAAGCAACATGGCCATGTCAAATCAACAAGCCAGACAAGTCAACCAAAGAATCAAGAAGCCCAACAAGTCAACATCAAGACAATGCCAAGGACAGCCAACCTTCACCAATATAATAATAGCACACCAATATAATAATAGCAAAAGACGCTTCATGATTTGTTCATATGATTTGTTCATATATAATTATTAAACTATGCAAATGCATGGCATTCCACATGAAACAACAAGCCCAAACCAATGCCAAGAACAACTGATCAAATGATCTTTCAGAATCCACTACCTAAGAAAACCAAACCTAATAAATATGCCAACTGCAGTGCATGTCATTTGCTGAGGACCAGGCGCCAACAAGGTCAAGGTTAATGTCCAAGTCCAGCTTCTCAAAATACAGGGCCAAGACAGGTCACCCGGGTTGGTTGATATATGGTATAGACTTATATATATATATTATAGTATATTTATTTTAAATTTGGGCTTGGCAATTGATTGAACCTGGTTGGTTGACCTGACATTTGATGACTTTTTCACATTGTTTTTCACTTGCTCATTGATTTTCTCATTTTTAGATATACCTTTATCATATATTATCATTTTTTTGCACCTCAAAACTCTCACCCAAAATAACTCCCATCTAAGACCCCTCCGATCTGGGGTATTGATTTGCTTGGCTGACTGAAGGCTGACAGCTGGGCGAAGCCGGCAGTCCTGTTTGAAGAATGGTTGACTAAGGTGGCCCGAAGAGGAACTTCCTTGATTTCAGTAAAAAAAAAGACCTTGGACTTCTAGGCTGTTGGCAGTTTGAGAAATAATCCAACATTCTGGACTCCGAGTTCCAAAAATCTTCAGCCCAGCAGCCGTGGCATATCCAGACTTCCCAGCACATTGCGTGTAGATGCCCACCACTTCCTTAATGTGCCCGCTCCCAGTCCGGAGCTGGAGGGACGAAGCTCGGAGCCTGAACTTCATCCCGACGAGTTGGGACTTCGGGTCCAGTTAGGCCCATCATATTCCATAGATGGAAGGTGCGGTCCGTGGTTTGACAGGGATGCTCACCTATCATGGATGTTCATGGATGTTCTTTAGATTGTTTGAGGCTTTCAGCCTGCGGTTCAACATCGCCCGACCAACAAATCCAAAGACATGCCGCATTGAGATACTTCAGCTGGGCCTCTGATGGAATTGGCATGCCTCTTGCCGGATCGGTCAATAGATCTCTCAAATTTGATGGACTAATATTTAATAGATCACACACACACACAAAAAAAAACAAAAGAGTTTTCACAGGAACTCAAAAACAAGATCCTCCGTGGATGACTCCTTGCATGAAAGCCACGTGGTTCAGGTACAAACTTCCACAAACTGATGGCCACGCCGCCGGATTTCACCGTCGAATTCGGACTTCCACAGACGCGTCCGCGTGATGTCCCGTCCGGCGCCAAGCTTCTCGTGGATTTACCATGTTGATTTCGCCCACACGCACATTCAAGGCCAACCTCAGGAACTCAAGGCTGAGGCCGACTCATGATGAATAAAAGCATATAAAAGCCTATCGATATCATCAAGAGGTTTTACAATCCCAATGCTTTCGTTTATTGATCAAGATTCTGCATTGGCCCATTGCATGTCCCCATATCTCCCTCTCAGGGTCTCTCAACCCGTCCATGGTGATACAGACTTCTTTTAAAGATTATTCCACATAAAAACCAAGTGAATCGAACTTGCCATCTGCTCACCGTGCAGTGCGGTGTCCCCAATTCCCAATTCCAGGTTGGGAGCTTTGCCTTCGACGTCGCGTTTACGTTTACGTTTACGTTCTTCGACCGCTCGGTGGAACGCGATATGCGCCGCTGCGCCCCTCCTCAAATGCTGCTTTGTTTGTGGAGCGCAGCATGTGGCCGGACAGGATACTTGGATGGTAATCGGATGGGTGCTGTCGTTGTTGATGAGATTGGTTGCTTGGAAAACTCTTCTTGGATGTTTCCGGCAATGGCAAAGGTTCAAGATGGCAAATGGCAGAGGTCACACAAATAGGTCCCTCCAATTCTCAACCGGTGTCACTGAAAAGGAGATTGGGGATAAGGGGATAACAGTCTCGAACAGGGGCTAAGGCTAAGCTAGCACCTGAAGATACTTGAGTAAAGGGATATATATATATATACATCATCATTTATGCAAGCCCAAGGCATAGAGCTACAACCCAAGGCATAGAGCTACTCTATCACCCTGACATCTGCTTTGCAAGGCCATATTTCAGAGTCAGGGACGAGGTGTTCTCTTCACAAGAGCCCGATTTCTGTAGAGTTTGACAGGAGTGAAGTTGACTTGGCCAACCTTTGGTACCATCTCAGGGATATACACAGTATACAACATAGAATTGTCTGTGGTTAAAACCAAACAAGTTAGTTTCACTATTTACAACACCTGCCAGGCAAAGCAACCAGTACACCAAACATGCATCCCTTGTTTTTTTTTCCCGGTGGTATTCTCAAGCGGCAAGTTAAACTATTGGCACTGAAATGCGTAACACATCGAGTTTCACACAACAATGCATCAGCAAAAGTACACACAAACAAACTCATGAAAAAGTTATACAATATGCCATTCTGTAAACGCATGGTCCAGAAGGAATCATACACAAATGTATTCAATGTGCGTTTCTTTCAAGGGCTAAGACCCTCCACAAAGCACTCGGGGATCCCCCAAATGGCCGTTGCCGGCGCCAGATCTCGCCCAGTGGCTGATACACGCAGGGCGCATCCCGCGTGTTGCCGCCGCCGTCAGTCATGCGGCAGGTGTCCTTGAGACCATCCTGAGCAAATGGTAGAGAGTTCATGCAACAGCAATGTTGCAAGCATCCACTGGTTCGTCAGAAATGTGGTGATTGCGCATATCAAACATGATATTCAGCTGCATCATATCTCGTCCTGTGATACTGATGTGTAAATGTATGTCTACTTAGTTGAGCCATCAAAAATAGAACTTCTGTCGCGCAGGCTTCCGTCTATCCAAATCGTCCAGGCTTCCGTCTCTTACTACCTGAGGCTACTGCCTGATGTTCCGAGGCAACCAAGTGAGCCAGCCATGAAAGACACAAAGGACAAATTACTGACCAACAGTCAGCACCTAATTATAACCACGGGTTCAAGAGAAGAACCCTCTACTTGAATACAGCTTCAAATGCTTTCATATGTTGTCATCTATCGGAATTACCTACAACAGCACCCATTCCTAGAATGTCATTGAGACTCCTTTTCTTGCCTGTCCCGATATGTTTCTATATTTATATAGTAATTATTGAATGCAATTGAACTAACTAAACATCGGTTTTGAGGCCAGGTGACGACATACACAACTGAAGATCATACTCAAATCCAGCCCCTGCACTCCAATTCACTATCAGCACTCCTCCAAGCACTTCAGTTTCATGTACACAAATATCATAAATGCTATTTAAGTTCTAAGCCGGAGACGTTTTACAATCCAAATGATAGGGGTTGAACCAGCCACAACAGTCTACACGACTTAGAGTACTGGCTTCCCATGCATTCCTTCCCCCTTGACTCTTGCCCACCCCTCCTTCCGTCCCTCTCTCTCCCGTCCTGCGGTTCGAAGATGATGAAGTACTCGCGATAGGAGGGCCGTGCGGGTTCCGTCTGCGACTCCACATCCTCGGACGATCCGGTCGACTCGGTAGCTGGTGTTCATGCGGTAGACCATCCGCGGTGCGGCGTTCCGTGCGTGCGTTGCCTAGCTGTAAAGCTCAGAATCTGCTAAGCTTGGGGGTTTCTGTTTTGGCCGCATGGAAGTGAAGAACTGCAAACATCCACGCTGACAATTACATTGAGTTTATGTATGTTATTTGTGAATTCTTACTATCTTCCATACGTATACAGCATTAAATGAGTGATATGGGCCGCACATGTGCCTGACAACTGTATGTGTGCGCGCGTCGTATAACCAAGCATCGTCGTACAGCGGCCCATAGTAGCCTCGCAATTCGCGGCCGCGGGCCTTCCGTTTTCGCCGGTCCAGCATGGTCCACCAGCGATGGTCGAAGGTGGGGAGCCTCCGTTCCGCTATTAATGGAGGAGAGGGGTGCCCGTATGATATCATATAATATCCATTCTTTAGGTTCCAAACATCACTCCGGCTTGCGCCTTTCCAGCTGTCCAACAGTCCAACCACCAGTGCCTATCAGGGCGTTTTGGCTCCAAGACTGATCCCAAGCGCCAAACACCCCTGGTAAGTAAAATGTGCGTACGTGTTCGTGCAACGTGGGGAGAGAAGTCCTAAACATGTGTGGAAGAAAGCCCGCTGGGGTCAAACCTGGTTGCATTTTGAATTAAGATCACCACCAGCAGCACCAACACTAGCCGCTAGAGAAGAAGAACAACAACAAGGACTAGAAGCAAAATGATAGATTAAATGTTGCACCTGTCTCCTCCACGGCATAAATTCTGCCCTTCATTCCCACTCACTCTCATCATTTCCCAGCCAGAGGGACATCCACGCGGAAAGGGGAAGCCCGAATCGTCGTTGGTCCACATTTCCATGAAGAGCTTCCCGCAAATCGTCTGCGTGGCATTCCTCGGGGGCATCCCATCTGATCTGCGATCTGCGGCGCACAGCATCGTCCGGAGCGAATCGTCCCTTCTGTCCGATGTCACAGACATACGCCGTGGAACCTGAAAAACATACACCGTGGTTTGGTATTCCGTTCACCTCGTCTTCCAGTCTGGTCCATGCCGTCCGTTCGCCCGGTTCCATGGTGGGTCTCGGAACCCAGGTGTTTACGGCTTTTCCCTCAGGTCGTTGGAGTTGCAGGACTGCCGTCGGACTGGAGTGTTTAAGGGACGTGGCAAAGACGCCAGAGCCTTCCCTATCCCCAGTGTCCAGAGAAAGAGACAAAGATATATGATCTACACCTGAATACTACGGGTTTCGGTGTTGCTCTGGTTGACGCTGACCGAGCTAAATAAACCGCTGGCGCCTGCGGACTCAGTCATGTGTTCCACATGACCCATCTGTTCCACCTGCTGAGGGTCCGTCCTGCCGCCATCATGTCTCCAAAAAACACCCAGCAATTAGCACTACCAAAGAAGCTCCAGGCTCGAGCCTGGTCCATGTGTAACGAGCTGGGACTTGCGGAACCGTCCAAGAAAGACACAAAGACCCCGTTAAGAGCCATATTTCTCATTGAACGTGAAACTGAACCGTCAAACACCAACTAAACCAACCATTCCCAAACCAAAAAGGATTCACATGGATTCACCCATTGAGGGAGAATCAAATCACTCGTTTTCGGACCAAGCCGCTCCATGAGGACTTGATCCTCTACCGGTAAGGCTTCTAACTCTGACAGCTCCTCTCCCGATAAGAGCGGCTCCAACCTCAAAAACGGTGCGCTGTTGTCGGTGCGGTTCTTTCTTCGTGCAGGTGTTCGGCTGAACCGTCTTCAGAAGGGTAACATGCACACAAACAAAACAATAAACAAAAGAACAAACAGAACCCAGGTATTGAGTTGTTTTCATGCTCAAACACTCTGCTGCTGCTGCAAACCCACATGCAGAAGTGAAAATGATGGAAACACCTTTCCCAGGCACTACTAAGATCTACTAAGCATGTCAGTTCTATGATGTTTTGTGTGAGGGAGCAAACACCTATTTTGACCAGAAATAGATATCGACTCAGTAGAGGGGATCTATCTCTGCCATGCGAGCCATCCAAGTTGGGACTTGCGACATCTACATCATTTCAGGGCCCAACCCGGCGGGGTGGTCGATGAGACACCTCCATGGCACGTCTAAAAGCGCTAATACTAGACACATCTAGACACCTTCATGGCCCGGGGCGGAATTGGTTGGGACTTGCATGTTTTTTGGGGGTTCCACTGAGGCAGACATGACCTGGAAATCCCACAAGAAGGCCTTCACTTGCAATAGCCAACATAGTATTGAACAGGATCTGCCTAAATTCCCCAGGCAAGTTGAACATGGAAGGATATGATAAATCAACAGGATGTGCCAACATAGTATTGAACACCGTTGATTTGCCCAAACAATCCCAAACACACTTACTGAAAGGATGGGCTCAAATTGGCCCAGGCTGGCATTTGGACCCAAATCACCAAGTTAGACGATGGAACTGGAGGCCAGTGTCAAGACACCAAGCGCTTGAAGAACCAGGTGGACAAACCAATTCTGAAAAAAAAAAACAACAGGTTCAGCTCCAAGATACCAGATATATAAACCAAGTTAAACCATCCTCTCACTTCACCTGGTCATCAGGCCGTGGGAAGAAAACAAATAAAACTATCTAAAACCGCAGATCCTGAGGTCGACCAGGTAGGCCAAGTGGCATGAAATCCACTTCCTTGAAGAGGAGACGCACCTCAACAAACCCAAAGAACATCCAAGAACTCCCAGCACTCCGAGGACTCCCAAGTCATCTAGAATCTTTGGCATGTCCAAAGCCGGACATCCCGGAGCCGGACATCCCTGGAAAATCACAGGTGATCAGCACTCTTCACCGGTTCTTGCTTAGTGGAGTGTCCCCAATTCCACAAAAAGGTTGAAGATGATCCACGTTCCCCTGGAAAAGTACCGGTGGCAAGCAGTTGATCTCAACCTCCACGAAGAAAGGTGGAGTGACACGTTCAGAACTGCCGTCTGAAGCAAAAGCTCCCGGTGCAAGATGACCCCTGTCGGTGTTGTCGGAAAGATCAAGAGCGATGTCACATGTTGTAACAATTTGTTAAGACCCTACACCTCCAAGTACCTCCTCAAAAGGTATGACTAGACCCTCCTGGCACCCACCCCAGTCCCACCTTCTCAGGTTCGTTACGACTGGAGGCCTAGGGGAGAGTACCTGGTTCTTCGGTTCGTGACCCAGACTGATCTCCGGGTGCTGATCACCGGTCACAGCCGGGTGTTTCGGGTCACTGACTGTGAAGTTCGGGTCACGAAGTGAAACGAAGTGAAACACGACACCAATCATTCAGATCCAAGAGGATTCCACATCCCAACCCTTTTCAATTGCGTGACTAGGTGATACTAGGGAGACCCGACCCCCCAAAAGACCGACCCCCTGGAAGATGACAACATAGACCAAAACGCCTTGGTTGGTTCGGTCTTTCAAAAAACACATCTCCACATGCCAGTCTACAGAGACTGCAGTGCATTCTTTGGTGCATGTTGCTGGCGACTTGTCTCATTGGAGCCAGTAGTAAGAGTTTTCTAAGGCCTCTTCTGAGAATGACCCTTTTTTCATGCTTCAGTAGTCAGTCCCTTGATGTCCCAAACGGGATCCACACCAAGTCGCAAAGAGTCTTACCGAAAGAGACACCGAAATACCCAGACGCTCCATGGGACTGCCATATATGCCAACATTGGAGTGGCGCCAGGGGGTCAATGGGGCGGCATATATTCCAGTCCCATGGAATGTGTTTCGGTTTTAGAGTCTACTATAATTTAGGTCGCAGCATCGGCAAAAACCACTGCAAGCATCTCCAAGCCATCCAGCATCCCATCTGACCCTATCCTATTCGCCTGCAATGCGGCCGCCCCAGCCATCCCCCAATACACACCCTGGAACTAACATGGAAGTGGATGAACGGCATCGTCCCTTGCATCATTTCCAACCAACATGCGGGCGCGCCACCCACTTCCAGTTCATCCGTTCACTCGTCAAGTGGCGACGACCGGAACCTGGTAAGCCTTGTAGAAGGTGGTGCCCCTTGATGGACTGAAGCTCAAGACTGCCATGCCCAGGCCTCGCAGCGCACGCGACGCGACGACTCGCGACGTCAACTCGCCCCGAGCTCGGCTCGGCTCGGCTGGCCGGATCGGATGCGAAAGGAAGTGACGGGTGCCCAAGGGACCTCCTTGCACCCGGGTGGTCAAGTAGACCCCAGCATCTGCCATGAAGGTCGGTGCGGAGAACTCTAAGACCTGGGCAGGCGGCGACCGGGGGTGCCTTTCGCCAACGAGGTGGGGGTGATGTTCGGATGGTCTGATTTCAAGCAAAAGTGATTGAGTCATGAGAAACTCATGCAGAATGAAGTGTACAAGAAATCTAGAGCACTGATCAGACTGATCTCCAGATATTAATTGCTTTGTTCATAATTTGATAAGTGACAAGTTGTGTCCACTTCTAGGAGTACAGATTGAGAACCTGGGCACTATTGGTGAAGGTACCAGCTTCCCATAACCCACTTCGTCTTGGATCTCAAGGAATGTAATATCAAAGCTGGCCAGTGAGTTTCTGATCAAAAACCTCGAACAGGTCTAAAGCTACTCAAAAAGTCCAAGTCAAACCATCTGTCACAGCCTAGCATTATCCATTCCCCTCATGCTTTTGGAGACATCAAGCCACAAAGTGCTTCCAGGAAGTTTGCCCCTTGCTTGCCTGTTAGAGAGGAAAAGTACTATAAGGCTTATAGGGACCAACTGGAAGGCCAAGGCGGCCCAGAAATCCGCTTGGCACCCGCGTCGCCGTCTCCGGCAACTCGCTTCATCCGAGTGGCACCCGCTTCGCCGTAGTATTGCTGTCGGCCTCGACCGGTCGAAGCAGTGCATGCAGCACGAGGCCGCGTGGAGGTGCTGGAGACGGTAAGTTTATCAAAAAACATCCATATCCCTCACGCTTGGACAGTATGTTTGATACAAAAACAGGATGAGATACCAGTTCAGGTCAAGATTCTGCGAGCACCCACGAAGCCAAGACAGAAAAGCAAACATGATTTGCATGCAGGTCTCATTCATCTCACCGAGATCAGTTGTCATGCAAAAGCTGGACATCAAGAGAACAACCACTGGGAATGCTCCATACTCGGCAGGTTCTCAGAATCACTTCATCAATGGAGACAGTATCCCACTTGAGCAAACCGGCCAGTTCACTTGGTAGAACATCCCTGATTATTAATTATAGCAATACTGGCGGGTTGTAACTTTTGTTAACAAATCAATCCATTTGAGGGGGGGTTGGCTGGAGCATGTTTCGGCTCACTTGCTATTCACACTGGGTGGTTGCAATTGTAACCCGCGCTAAAAACATCCACTTGGGGTTTTGGTCGTTTCTCACTTGCTATACCATCCAAGTACTCACCCAAGTGTGACCAGCAAACGTACGTCCACTCTGCACGCGCAAACTCACCACCACCCGGCCTCCGTCGAAGGCGCCCCAGCAGATCTTCACGGTGGCAGCCTCGTCCACTTTGATCTCCTCCTGGAAGCCCCGATTCTGTCAAACAAATCTGGAAGAAGCCAAGGGAAAAAAGTAAGTGTGATCCTTTCCCCAAATCAAATGCACTCGGACTTGATCCATTGAAATCTGATTTGGTACAAAAGCAGGGGGGCCGCCAGTAGGAAAGACAATGGCATCACGGTCCCATTGGTTGGTGTGTCGTGGTGCTGATTCTTACATTGCACGTGTGCAGGCTGTGAATATGGATATCCAAAGAAGACACAAGCTCAACACAAAGCACAAACAGCTTGTCACTGCAGGTGCGTACAGGAAAAAAAAGGGCATTAGAAGTTTGTGTGTAACAGGATGTTCAAAACTACGAAGATGCTCAGACTATTTTTTTTCAGGCACATTCCCCTTATCTTTCCCACCTCTTATCACCACACGTCCCAGTCCACCTTGTGTCACCCGACCGGTCGTCCACACTAGCCTTGGTCTGCAAGCGATTCCGCCGGTGCCAACGGCCCTTGTTGTCCACGAAGCTGAACTCTGGTCGTTGACCCTCGGGCCAACCCACCGGGATGCTGAGCCTTGGGGCCCGATCAGATCGGATCATTCCACAGCACTGGCTGTCCTTGACCTGTCCAACCAGTGCCTGTGCCAAGCACATATCCCAGACACGACCCATGTAAATTCTGCGGACTGCCGAGAAACGGCCAGGGGTGGGTTTGGGGGTCAATGCATACATGGCGTGTCTGGGTATAGCTGTTGTCCCACGACGCCAGCGCAACAAAAAAGATGTCGCGACGAACGCCCCCATGTCATTGATACACCCCCTGCCTTTTTCACCGTGACGGAACTTGGTTCAGGTCATTGAAGCAAGACACCGAAAAGCGCTACTGCAATAATGAAGAGTTCGCATTGAAAAGTTCAACCGTTGAATTTGGCATGCAAGGGCTAGCTTGGTGATGCTTGCCCCCGGTATAGGCTAAACCAGCATCTCCTGCAACTGCAAGCTGCTCGTCCAGTTGCTCAGCCAAGTGTTGGGAGTAGTCACAACAACCACACGGAACATAGCAACCACCTGCTGAAAAAGGTACAGTTCTCCAACGTTTTCCAAAATCTTCCAAACTTGCTGGCTGTTTGTTAGTGTTGGGGAGGGTAGTCTGTGGGAACTTAACAAAGAAGTAGTGTTGCAAGTGTTCAGGTACACTGCACCTGTTGAGGATGTGTGCAACCTCTGCAGACGAGTCGGGTAACGCATCTGACTGTGGAGCGAAAAAAGGTGAGGCGAGACCCTGATCCCATCCATTTGCGACGAAGATCCACCCTCTAAGGGTCGCCACGTAAACGTAAACCTCCTGGAAAATGGTGGTTTTCAATTGATTGGTTAATCCGCCGGGTAGATAGGGAATTGCCCAACTTATACTACTGTAAGGTAGTTGATGAAAGATGTGAGATATTAGACGTTTGGAACAACCATCTCAAGTGATCGATGTGTTTGCCAACTTCAAATATCTCGACTCTATCATTCTCTACCCCCAAGTGGTGCCAGCTCGTTCTTCCTCCAGACTTTCATGTTGACTTTCGATAAGTCGCTTAGTGCGGTGTAGAGTGGTGATCAACTCCTCATCGGTCGTGGTCACGTAGGAGACGTGATTCCTGAGTGGTGGGTCACGCAGTCGCAAATGCTCAGCAACAGTCCCAGCGACAGTCCCAGCGGTTTTTGACGATGGACCGCCATGTCAGTGACGAGTGACGCTTTATGGCAGCTTCATGCGGTTTTGTCATGTTTTGTCCAGGTTGGACGAAGAGTAGACAATCATATTTCGCGAATGTTGAAGAAAAGCACAGAAGTAGGGGGAATCCATAATATATAGAAATCACCAGGAGTGATACTATACCACTCGATACTGTAATGTTTTGTTCAATATTGCCACTGCAAATCTTGTGTGACTACGAAGTTCAATGAAGAGAGACGTACTGATACTGCATGTTCATTCATATATGTTCACTTTTTGCTGATCATATATTCCGATACCCGCAACGAATAACACCAACACATTCCATCTTCCTCCCAAAAGCAATATACGCAACATACTCCACATGATGCGGAACCCGACTCCCAAGCCGGAACTCGATCCCTCAAAAAGAGGAACTCCTGTGAACTGAACGGATTCGGGTCCTCGGTCCTCTTGTTGAACACCCTCGAAAGACGATCCACCTGGGACCCTGAAAACCGCTGCGGACCGGGGACAACCATCGGACCCAGAGGGTCAGACAGGGTCGCTATGTGAGTGACATCGGGAGTGTAGTAGGGTGGACACCGACCCCCAAAGGGTTCGCTGACCGAAACTTGGGTGATCCACGTCCGAAACGCACAGACCAGGGCTCCAAAGCATACGCTTCACTTCCGGTTCATCGGCGTAGCTGTAGAAACCACTCAGCTTGGCCACCAGGTGCTGCTCTGAAATCGTCCACTGACTCGAGTTCCTGGCTCTTCAGCTGCGAAAGGATGGGGATCTCAGCGAAGGGCTATCACTGACCACGAAGCTCATTTTTGGGTCCCCAAACCAACGCTGCCCAAGTCAAACACACATGCACAACAGACTCACTTTCCTGAATATTTAGTACGGATTGGCATTGGGAAAGGAAGGCCAAAACAAAAACACTGGGTTGTATATACCCAGAACTTCCAATGGTCCAATGACTCACTTTACCCCACCTGGTCGTTTTCTTCTTTTTGATCGCCAGTACCAGGCCGGGGCAAAATGAGTCAATCCGACTCTAAGACTCTAAGGGATGGCAAGTAGCCCGAGGAAAAGGACCAAACATGACCAAACATGTTTGTGGGCCCCCATTCGTAGATTGACCTCCGCAGTACGTAGTGACGTCTATTTCTTTTCCTGTTCGGTCGTCCACCAGGGTATACCAGGCTCCTCCCGGTGCCATGATTTACAGCCAGACTCGAGTCTCGAGGATTCCAACAAAAGCACCAAATCCCCTGTTCTCGCTCCAAAACACCAAACATCTTCGGTCTTCAGGCCTGACCTGAAGTCCCAACAGTGGATACTCCAGCGGCCGCAAAGTTTGCGCTGGGGAAGCCGGGAAACTATGGATCTTGAATCTTTCTTTCGCTCTGAGAGCACCGAAAGCTTATCCAAACTGCATGGTGATGATCCTATGGAGCAAGGCTTCAGGGTGCAACAACCCCATAAACTCCGTCACACAATATCGTCACTGAAACTTTGAAACAAACCAATGCCACATGAACACATTCTCTTCAATTAAGTTGTTTTTTGTTGCTACATTAGCTGTAGTTCCTCGTGACACCTCTTCCAAACTTTCACACAAAGTCCATCCTTTTCACCCGAAACGTACCCGAAGGCCGACGTCTCTCGCCGCCTGCCGCTGAGAAGAATGGAGGATTCATCCAGCGTGATGGCGTCGCCGTCCAGGAGCTCCGCGGTGATGTCGCCGCTGAAGGTCAGGATCGACTGAACCTGTCAGCTGCGCTTGAACCCGCGGAACCGGAGATGGTGGGGAAGTTTTCTGATGTTTTCTGATATTCCACAGGCGTTTATACACAAGCTACGGCGTTTATTGGTGAGCCACAGGCGTTTTTTCCCGAACGTGTTTTGTAAGTGGATTATGCGGTTCACAGACCTATATAAAGGTATGTTGAACTACCGACCAACAGAAATCAACCACGAGGTTGCCGGTATGAAACAACAACTATATATATATAATATATGTATATATCTGTAATTATACATATATGGATGATTGCAAATCATTCCAAAGAGAGGGTCGGTCGGCGGCAAACATCATGATTTCATATTCATAATCGATAGGGGAAGCTCAGAAGAGTCTTTTTTATTTACAGGGTCCATCCGAACAGGCCTGAAATTACCACCTATACCATGTGTGGATAATATGGACCCGGGCATCACGCACGTCCGTCAAATGGGGAACAAATGAAGCAACTAGCCAACATACAAGATCTGTAGCATTCGAGGTCCTGCCATCACGCGATTGCTTCACAGGTGTTGATTGATTGTTATTGAGATATAACAATTTTCCGTCCCGTCCGGCAACCTCTCCAATTCACACTCATTTGAATTATGCCTTTATTATGCTGAATTACTCATCTGGGATTATTCCCAGCAAGAAGCTCAAATCAAAAAGCTTGAACCATCTGAAGAACATCATCAATATTTCGGCCAATGAAGAGTCTTGTTGAATCTGAGGGAGGGCTGTAAGGGAGTCCTGTTTGAAATATCCAAAGGTGTGTTTCTTTCCCAGAACGCCCATCATTCAGTGATTGTCAAGAACAGTTGTTTGTTCGCTTTGAGAAACTGCAACTATATTCATATATATAGATATAGATATTCATACGCAGTTATGGAGATAAACAGCCCAGTCACACAGGAATTGACCAACCCTTCTCACATTGGCCGTTTCACGATGCTTCAGGTGTATAGGTGCTTGCGCAAAGCGCCAATCCATCCCATCGAACCATCATGTTATATCATAGTTGTATGGGCCAGCAAGGTCAACCTCTCTCTCCCTCCCTCCCTTCCTCCCTTCCCTCTCTGATGAGATTGAGAAGATCAACGGCTCTGGACAAAATTTGAGGTCCAAACACTCAAATTCATGATTTCACAAGTCCCAGTCCCCACTTGAACACTGGGTTCCAAGCATCAATCGGTCCTGATTTCCATCCTTTAATTAGGTGCACAGAGGCTACCGGCTCGACCGACGGCTGCTTGAAGGTCCAAAAAGAAAAGGTTCTCAGGTAAACTGTTGTTTCTCCTCTTCCACATCAACACACTGGACTTCCACGTCGTGATCGCAATAGGATAGTGTCAGGATTGGCGGCCGCTCGAGCGATCGGAAGGAGATGTATCGGCTATCGCTCGAGCGATCGCAACTATGGAACACTTCTTCAAATGGTGAAGCAATGGTTAGGTTGTTGGGAACTTGAACTTCCTCCAAGAACCATCTCCCTGTTTACTTCTCCCACTTCTTCCCACCTCGCCGATCTCTATTTCAGTGATGTGGAGCCCAGTGATTTCCTGAGCTGGCCGGAACTCACCGGCCGTCTGAGGCACGGACCGACACGGGAAGCTGGTCCAGTCGTACCGAACCGGAGAAGGTATGGGAAGCTCGTATTTATGCAGCCTTGAACGTGACACCTGCAAACACTCGATGTGTTTTTTTTTTTTTCTGATGTTTCGATTGTTTGCTCGACTTCCACATCTTTTGCCTTCAGAGAGGTGCTTCGACCACCTGCCCCCTTCAAGAAACTTCAGTCGGACTCCTGAAGGATACTGCAATCATCATTGGTTTTTGGTTCCACATCGATACAATCCATATCAATCCATCAACCTTCAGCTTCAGTCAAACAGGTGGGAGGGGCCTGAAAGGAGCCAGCTTATATACAATACAGAGTCATTTCTTAGTCACAGTCCTGTCAGCTAGCCCGTGATTCTGGAATGCAAGCAACCATGATCCTTTCTGCTTCCATTCCATTGTTTCCATGGTCAAACCGAAGTCAAAACAGCCACACGAATAGCCACACAACACCACACAACCGTGTTTTCAAAGTCTTTTCTATCGATTTCCACACACGCACCCATGTTTCCCCACAATCAGTCCAACACTTCTACCTCCGATCCACCGCTCCCGAATGCTCCCAAGGCGCAGCGCTGATCACGTGCACGGAGATGTCCTCCTTCTCGGTGGGTCGACGGCACGACGAGCTGTTGAGCCCAGGGCATCCTCGGAGCTCGCTGAGACCGGGACGAAAGAAATAGGTTCGGATGAATCCGGTTGGATCAACCCGGTTGGATCATGTGTCAAGCAACATGCCGTGGTCCAAAAGAAGATAGCTGATAGCTAGTCGATGCCTTAAGATATACCCTTTTCAAGATCTTCTTAGACTCTGGGTTCCATCCTTGATGGGATCAATATTCATCTACTAAATATAGTATACCAGGACCCTCCAACTGGTTTCCTCCGGTGAATTGGAAGACTTCAAGTGGCAGGCGATGACCTGGCAGGATGCTGGTAGGACACAGATAAGTACGAGAACTTTCTGGTGTTCAGATACCAGAAGCATCCAGAAGCCTCAGATACCTCCAGTGATGATCACGAGCTCAGAGACCTCTGGTGTTCACTTCACCAAGCATCCCAGGCGATAGACATCCACACCCCGGGGATCATTGGCATTCTCTCGGCACCTCAGGTCTTTCGGCTCGTCCGCATCGGGCGGGCTGCGGTCAGCTCAGCGGTCAGTCTTGAGCAAGCGATCAATGACCAGCTGAACTGCAGTCGGTGCAGTGCGTCGTTTGCAACCAGCGTCTGCAAACAACTCTATCTCCTCCAAAAAGTCCTAAATTCATAGAGACTATCATGGCTCGACGCGTTTTCTGTTGGGTCATTTCATGGCTCGGCGTCGCTTCTCACATGTTTTTGGCTTCCCACGACTCAGCCATGTGGCGTCTGGGTCATACTGATGAGGCGGATGGAATCTGTGTCGGAGAAGCCCCAGCCTCCGATACGTCGACAAACAAGCAAAACCATTTGGGGTAGTTGAATTGGGGTCCATGGAGAGGCATATCCCTGGTTGATCCTGGGTCAAATGCACAGATTTCTCTATATGGGATGTCAACCTACCATGGTTTGGTGGGCGAGCGCTGTATCATTCCAGTCCCATTTGTCGTGTCTAGGCCCGATTCTAGGCTTTGGACTCACTCGCACAAGAAGGAGGATGACATCTTCTCTGTGGAGGATGCATCTGGTTTGCTAAGAGCCAATCGGTTACCTTTTCAACTGAACCCACAAAGGTCGAAACCAAAAACAAAACAAAACAATATATTCTACATTATTCTACCTTTTGGTGCGTCATCTATCCAATAAAGTCCTTTCCTGTCTTGATTTATGGCAGTAGACCCAACCCATGTCCTCCTGGTAAACACCCCAAATAATATCCCAAACTTCATTATATATATTGAGCCTCGCCTCGCCACTTGCTTTTGCTCTTGTCTTTCATGTGTTCTCATATGGCTGTGCATTGCAATACAAAGACCCATCTGCTCATCATCTAGACATGTCATTGGGTTTATATATATAATGGATGAAAATGGCAAGTGCATGACATGAGCCATATACTGTCACTTGTTCTACTCACTCACTCGGTTTGCACACTTGTTCTACTCATGCTCTATACTCACTGGGTTTGCACTTGTTCTTTCGACCGATCCTTAAGGGTCGCCCTCATAGCTGCATCAGCAGTCATCCGTAGGCACCCATTCCGTCACCCGGCTGCCCGGATCAACGAACTTTCGTGGATGTGTGGCTTTATACTTGCAGGTGCAAGTGCTGCAATAGCAATGAAAGGAGCAGGTGGGAGCCATAGATTGGGCATATTTGCACATGAGATACCATCTTTCAGCCCTTGGCAGCATACTGGCCAAACTTTCGCAGGTGATCTTCAAACCGCAAGGGGTGCAGGAGCATCCGATCTTACTTCAGCTCAAAACCAATCTCTGCAAACACCTTTGGCTCAAAAACCATCCTCCATCATCGCCCTGCGGGTGGTTGTGTTCCAAACTCCTTCAGTCTGTGTCTCAGGGAGTCTGACCGATCTAGCCTGAACCTAGCAACTCCACCCAGCCATACCTCCGCCTTTCAACTCCACCCATCCGTCCGTCTGACCAAACGTCTGACCTGCCGCAAGGAAAACATCCACCCCACCCGAACATCCCCGCCACTTCGACCTCACCGCCACGGTCACGACCCGAAGACCTCGAAGCGATCCGCGGCGGGCGACCGATCCGTCTCCGATCCTTCCAGGTCGATGCGCACCACGAAGCTGGTCGGGAGGTTCAACTGGATGTCCTGGTCACCACGCCACACGTGTGGGTGTAGGTGTCGGTAGGTGGGTTGGTTTCGGTGTCTGGCTGTGCTGCTGTGTTTGGTGTGTGGGCTTGGTAAGGACACGGGGTGGGGTGGAAGAACACCAGAACACCGTGTGGCTGCTGGTCGCTTCAACCAAAGAAGAACACGGATTGGAAGGTATCGAGGGTGGTTTGGATGGGTCGGGTTGAGTTTTTCTTGTCCTTTTTGAAAGGCGGGGTTTAGGGATGTGGTTGGGGGGGGTTGCCACAGGTGGATCCTATGATTTGGAGAAGGTGCATCAATAGAAAATGGATCTGCATGATTTTGATGTTCGGAAAGAGATGGGATCTGGGCATAGAGCGGGAAGATGTGAAGAAGTGATCTGACTAACAGTGCAGCAATGCTGACTCCCCTCCCTGGAATAAAATAGAGGTTAATCAAACAACTGTCCTCCAGATCTTGTTTAATTAGTGGGAAAACCAATTTCAGAAGAAAGGTTAAAGGTTATCCACTGATTGGGTAGGCGTGAGTTGGTGTCCTTCTCAAACAGTGATGTCTGGTGAGGATCTTTGGTTGAACTCAAACCACGCTCAACCGGATCGTGCCATTCACAGGACTGTGTTTTGGTACTTTCCTTGGATTTGCTTAAGGAGCCTGGAAAACATGCATAATATTGCCCAGAAAGGGTTTACTCATACTGTAAGTAGGGAAAACAAATCACCTTATAAGCCAAACCAGGTTTCTGTTCCACTAGCATCCCCTTTCACCCAATCATCGACTGGCCGGTCTGTGTGACCGGACCGAAGAATGCCCCCCAAGCTTCCATAGGCATCCAAGGCTCAGTCAAAGGTCCTTTGAACATTAGCCTGGAGCGATCCAAAGATGGAATTCTTGAGAGGATTCTCTGTGACTGGGTAGGAATGAAGGAACGTAGAACCCAGTGTGATCAAATTTTTCAGGCCAAGTAGAACTACCACCCGACCAAACCTCCAAGTTTGACTATGTTGTTTTAATAGGGAGACTCCCAGAGACTCCCAACCAATAGGTTATTGGTCTACTTTCAGGGACCGCGGCCATATAAAGTTGGAACTTGTAGGGATTGCAGTTGGTATGGTTCTATAGGGGTCCAAGGTGCCCACTTCGATCAACTACGTACCTCAGCATGACCCCTGCCGGACGGTTGCAGCTTCAACATAACCTAGCTAGACCATATTCAATTGCTCTGGGACAACAAACATCCTTTAGTGCCAATGGCCGACAACAAATTAAAGGAGACCGACGGCTACAGAAATCATATCAAAGGAAATGGCCCATGAACTTGGCTACTACACAGTACATCTCTGGACGTACAACTGCAATGGGGATGAACCTTTTGCTGATTCATGATCACCAGAAACCTAACGTTCGGACTCTGCACTACGCTGTCCTGACTCAGTTGCGCTTGCACATGGGCTTCGATATGCTTCGATAGCTCATGGTGCTTGGAGGTGCCAAAATTCACCTCTAAGAGTCTCCCAAACTGCATGACTGGTGTTCTTTTTAGGTGGTGTTCATGTCGCGGCACCATGGAGCGTTTGGGAGAATCTTAGGTAGAAACACTGGAGATGGATGTTTCAGAGAAGGGTAGAAAAGGGCCTTGTGAGGAAGTTTTCTTAATGAAGAGGTCCATCCATCCTAGCCCTGCTCTCAGCCAGCTTGAGCTCGCATGAGGATCAAAGGTGCACTGATAGCTAGTCATAGGCATAGGCGTCAACTGGGAAATGGGATGATAGACCTCAATCTTTCTCAACTTATTATATTACAATCGTGATGGAAGCCATTAACTCTGCACGTGCCCAAAGGAAGATCAGTGCTGGAACATTGATTTCTTGACTCAGGAAACAAACTCTGAGGAAACATGTCACCGACTTGGACAGATTTAGTATCAAACCAGCTTCCACTGAGACACCTCTTCTTCCTTCTCAAACAATTTGACATGTTGTTGCCGTTGTTGCTTTGGGAATTCACATTTCTAAGTCCAGGCCACGCCAAAGGACGTCCAGGACTACAATGGCTCGACTACAATGGCTCTTGGGCGATCTCGGTGCAGCTGAGATCTCCGGACAGGTCTCTTTACCAAAACACCCCCAAGTGGGCTGCAATCACATGAAGCCGGGCACATGACCCATCAAAAGGGGTACCGGGGTACATGAATGACACCAACGCAAAGAGGTCATCACTCATCACATGACAGTCATGACACCCCTTGTCCACTGTGCTTCTTGATGATGGGTACTAATTTGTGTTAACATCATGTAAGATCAAGTATACTCAAAGACCTCTATTGAGGTGGTGGCGTCTCCTCTCGTCAAACGTGGTCTTTCAACTTCAGTGGGATTTGTGACGCGGAAGTCAGTCCAACACGCAAACAGAGACGTCGACGCACGCACCCACCTGCCTGGCGGCACTGATGTAATAGTTGGGGCTAGCGCAAAGATCATCTGCATCCAAGACGGCACAGTAGCAAACCAAGAAAATCCCTGCCTGCCAGGGCTGAGAAGATCCAATGTGAAGAACTGCTTGGAGGCAAACACCTGTTAAGACCATCAGACCATCCTCCCCTAAATTTGCGTATCACCAACAAGGACGCAACAAGGGGCTCCTGGCATCGCTTCTAGGAGCAAGGACACTACTCCCGGCTCCTGGCATCACTACTAGTAGCATTCTTACTACTAGAACAAGAAGCTAGAAACATCTAATATGGCCCACTGCCTTCCACACCGTTTTCACTGGGGGTGAGGGTACCTTGTTTGTCCATTGGAGATTCCCGTTCAAGAGAGGGACCAGAAACATCTTGCACACGCCCATCCCCTTGGCCTGGAAGAATGTTCTACACCCAACACACCCTTCAAATGCCAACATAATTAGAGACATCCTGAATATCCAGAAATCCACGAAACCAAAATAGTTCTAGTCCGAAGAAAGAAAGACAGAAAGAACACCAAGGGCTCCAATCACACCTACCATGGGCACACAAATCATATGAGCACACATGCGCACGCAGGCCCGAGCGGCGCGCGCGCGTGCGCGCGCCAGCGGCCTTCCATGTGTTGAAGCTCTGATCATTTTCGATTCCCGAGAAGGGCAAATACCTTGAGAGATTTCGGTGAGAGCGACAACACCACACAGACCCTGTTCTTGAGGCTGGTCAACTTTGCCGTACATGTTCTTTTTCTGTATATGTATAACTGTCACAAATGGATAGTTTCACGACTCCCAAAGCATCTTAGGGGATCGAGAATCTTCTTTTTAGATTCTTTGGCAACGGGATTGTCGTTGTCCAAAAGTTGTTGCGTTCCAATGCAGCTTTGAAGGACACCCTGTATCAGCCAAAACGGTGCATGAGGCTTCCGCGGGAAACTTTCTTGCGTGCCGGTGAGTGGTACGTGGTGACTGTCTACAACCGATCCACGTGCAACCAGAATTCGAAACCTCTGTAACAACCAACGTTAGAAATGAACTTAATCGAATGTGGCATGCATATCCCAAACAATCCAATGGGACTGAATTCAGGCATGCATAGTCAATGTGTTCTAAATGTTTAATTACCATTTACGTATTTGAGTGGTTGCTTCGGGTTCAACGTAGGCAAAATATTTGTGTTCCAAGGGTCATAGTACTAGTATGTCTGACAGGGCTCCCACACAAGCTCCCATGGGACTGGCGTGGGCGACTGATGCTGACTGAAGGGTCACCCCACCACCTGGTTTCTATGGTAGGTGGAGCAAAAAGACTGACTCCCAAGCTGTTTCGACTCTGGAAAATTGAGGTGAACTGAACGCACTCCACCTGCTTTTGTGTTTTTTTTTGTAGGGTCCAAAAGGGTGACATTGCAGGTGGTGCGCGTCCTTCAAACAAAAAACACATGTAGCTTTGGACTAAGACACCTGGGCGCGGTGCATCCTTCATCCCAGCTCACCTACCCTTGAAGTGGCCACAGCTGTCCACAAAGCTAGCAGTAGGAACTGGACAGTGGAGTTGTGAAGGATTTTGTTTCAACTTTAGCATCTTTAGCAGTTCAAAGGGTAAAACTTGCTTAAACAGCAGTGGGCAAGGATCTAAAAGTAAGAGATACAAAGGGCGGGTACAAGGTGTTCTTCGGGGCACCATGAAAAACATGCAAAAGCCATCTCTCGATGGTGAGACATGGTGGGACACCCCAACGGAGCCCAGGGCACTGGTTGGCTCCAGGCCCCACCCAGGCCAGGTATTCCCGCGCCAGTTCCGCAGAGCCTGGCGACAGGCGCCCGATCGGAGAGAGTGGGATCACCGTACCGAAGACATCGGAAGCGGATGGCCTTAGGGGAAGAGGACGTGAACTCTACCAAGAAGGCGGTGTCCTCTTCCATTCGAACGTGGGTCGGAGTGTAATTCCCTTGGATTGAGCTGGGTGAGGTGCTTGGTGATTCTCCTGGTCTGAGGGTGGGGTGTAGATGCAACCCTTCTGTGCCGGGACGCACCCAAAGAAAGTCGGACACGGATGGGCTTGGGCTTGAAGCTGATGTCTGAGAGGATGGGCTTGGTATCACAATCAAATGCAAACAAACAAGGCTTCCATATATTAGGCGCAGGGTTTGTGAATCCACTGCAACAGCTTCTAACAACAACTCATCACCACTGCCCCAAGCGCCCGGCTCAGGGAAATCTCGCTTTTGTGGGGAGATATCGAGAAAATTGGAATGAAACATGAGGCAAAAACTGCTATAGACGCCCCCAAGCAAATTCTGACAACGTCCAATACATGTTTGGAGGGATTCACCTTGCTATCTGCTATCTCCAAACAATCCTTGCATGTTCACCCACATTGGGTTGGCTTAAAGGATCAATATTCAGTTGATCTTCCGGTCCCACAGATTGTTCACGAGATCCTGTCCGTTGCCTTCCTGACCTCCAGTACGCAAGTCATGTACTGTTGATTCATTCAGCCAGCACCCCCAGACATGCATTGTAAAGCCTCTCCGGGCTTGGACATGCATTGTACATATCAGTCTACATCCCGAAACCATCCAAACATCCAGGACCTTCAGTTCGTGACCGGACTTGAGATCCCAGTGGCGGCTGAGGTCACGAATCGTCCCTCTTCAGAGGTCAAGTGACACGGCTCAGGTCACTTCATTGGCTCAGGTCGATGATGGAATCGCCATGCTTGGGGGCTGCTGTTGAGATGTTTTGAGGCTCCACCATGCCAGAGCTAGACTCCAAGGAGCTAGACTCCAGCATTCGCGAAAGGAACACAAATCCATGACATTCATGGATTGTTGTGGATCAAGTGCTGAGCCGCGGGCCGCTGAGCGGTGCATCGCTGCTAGCGAAAACGCTTGCTCCCTTCTTCCGAAAACGCCGTCTGAGCTGCTGGGGCCATTGTAATACTCCGCGTTGAAGGTGCCGTTGGCACAAGCCTCAGTGCGTTTTGGAAGACCATACCAACAAAAAAACTTACACAAGGTATATATAGTAGATAGGATTGACCGTTTGGTGGTTTCCAAGGCTTGCTCCTTCCGGCTGGCAGCTGGGGCCTTCTGTTGAGTGGACTTCTGGGAAGATTTGATCATCGGACAAGAAAGGATCTGCATTGGGTGAACACATCCCTACAAGAACCCTACACCTCCAGTCGTACCTCCTCAGAAGGTATGACTGGACCCTCCTGGAACCCACCCCAGTCCCACCTTCTCAGAAGGTACGACTGGAGGCCTAGGGGAACATCATGTAAACATCCGAACCAATCATCTGTGAGCCGACAAAAAATCTGCTGGATCCAACATGATCCAAAAGTGCTTTGGGAAGGTCCCACCGTCCGATCTTATCGCGCGCATCGATACACACAGTCTCGGGTTGTTGGTGGAACGGATATACTGACAGCTCCACGACTCCAGTCCGAGGCCAAGAGCAGGGGGGGGCCCAGATGTGACCAGGAGGAAGGAAAATGAAAGGGAAATATCTTAGGAAGCTTCCAAGTGGTAGCTGTGGACTGGTCTTTGTCTGGGGATTCACCACCTGCCCTTTTTTGGGCGGTCAACAATCAGCACAATGTTACCTTTGAACTATATAATATATAGTCAAAATGTCCACCCAAACTAACTGTAGTCCATGGTCACATGTAGCCACAAAATTCGAGGTCTTTGACTGCAACTCTGTCCAACAAAACCTCCAACAAAACCACGCATATCAACTGGAAAACCTCCCAGATTCATCTGTCTATAGCGGAAGTCGACCAAACCACTGCCATGGCCGCCAAACCCACTGTCTCTCTCCGGCTTCGGCGGATTCGGCACCCCGCTCGTACGCGTCTCTTCGGGCCGAAGGGGCCACGTTGAGCGTGAGCCGGGCCTCGGGGTCATTGAGACGATCGAGGCCCAGAAACTGCTCCAGGGTCACCTGCGACGCAAACGCCGCCCGGACCGACGGACGCCCGGACCGCGCGGATACGTCATCACCGGAGGAAGGGCGCCGGGTGAACCCCGAAGAAGGCGAAGGGCGCCGCCGTTGTCCGGGAGCTGTGAAAGTGTGAAAAGTGACCGCTGTGGACTTGCTGTGGTGCGTGTTGGATTCTCATGGGCGGCAGCAGATTGCTCAGTCAATGGTGTGTCGACATGTCCACACCATGCGTCTGACCTGCAAAAAGGAGCCTCCACTGCTTGTGCAACTGTGTCTTAGTGAATCAGATCTTCTATAAATCAAAAACCGCCTTAACAGCCTCACCGCATCTTTCCTTCGGCTCCACCTCCATCTTTCGTGGAGCCGAACACTTGACGCGGGCGAGCCTTCGAAGTGCCTGGCCCTGCACCCCAGGGGTAGTTCGCCAGGTTGTCGTAAGGCACCAGCTTCCTCGGGTCCGCTCAGGCGCTCAGGTCGGGCAACCCTGAGATGTATGGGCCACAAAGACCACCGATGAATTAAAAAAGACAACGATCAAACCCTACAAGTCAGTTTGACCTCATTTTACTGGAGATGGTCATACAAAACCAATACTTAAGGAGGTTAAAGACGTGGTTTTACTGGGTCAGACTGGACTTGTAGGGAAAGCATCCACTTGTCACTTCACTTAGTACTGCTTGGGGCTGGGGATGAAGCTCAACCTGCACAAATTGACCAAGAAACACCACTTGTGCTGGGATCAGACAGGAGACCGTCCAGCCTGCAATACGCTCTCCTGCGGATGCGGTCCTTCCTTCAACGATGAATCCATTAATTGGGTTCAGCAACTCAACTGCTGCATGTTGTTCTCCGGTCCCAAAACCTAGTTCTGAGGGTCAAGACCCTCAAGAACTGAGTGCGAACTATTTGTTTCTAGACTTCAGGCTTTCGGGGGCTCAGTGACCGCAAGCTGAGCGCAAGCTGAGCTCTTTCAGGTATGGACAAGGTGGTGAAGACCTAGTGGAAGACCTCAGCGACCCCCGTGGGACCGTGGGATTTAGTTCCGATCCCGACCGGGGCGGTGGGAACACAGCGGTTCAGCTGGGGGTGGCGACCCACAGAGCGCGTGCGGATGGAAGAAGACATGTGCTCCCAAAGGTTCAGCAATTAAACACGCAGCAGTTCAACTATTCAGGTGACTCTTCAGGTGATAAACTAGGTTGCAGGTGGTGCTGTTCCAAAAACGGATTCACCTCGCGGCATACGGCCTTGTCCCGGTGCATATATCAACGCCTCCAGTTCCGTTCCATTCAAGCCAAGAGTCAGTGTGGTCTTCTTCCGCCAGGGGATGCTGTCATACCTGAGCTGATCCGTTAGTGGAGCTCGGGAGACAACTACCCAGCAAGGGCAGGAACACTTCTTTTCCCATACCCCCCATCTGAAAGCCACATCGAACAAGCAACAAAATACAAACAGGGAGAAGGAGTTTCCGGTTCAATCTTTCTCAATTTCCATTCTGGAGTCTTTGTGGTGATGATGGGGTGTAGCATGGTGTAACTGTGAAACTGAATCTCATAGGCTTGAGATCAATGGCTTCTAGCCACTCTGACCCAGGTCCTGCTATCTGCTCATCCCAAATAATGTAGACTCTTGATCAATAAACCACCCCATAATGAAGAGGTGTTCAATTCAAATTGCGGGGGGGGTTGCAGTATATAGCTTTCCCCCATGCTGAAAACCCACCGTTACCGGCGCTGGGGCCCAGGTGCGGATGCATGCCCTCTGAAAGGGTGGAGCGGATGCCGGCATAGAGTGTCAAAGCTCCTGGCTTCGTGACCTTGGAGCTGCGGATCGTGACTCTACAAACAAACATGCTGCGGCGTGACCTTACTTACCTTTGGATCCACATACCTTACTTACCTGTGAGAAAATGATTGGAGACTTTAATGATCTTTAATGTATATGCTTTTGTTCCCCCTAACACGTCACATTACGCACAGCCGTCTTTTCACAGGGCTCCCACCAGGCCACAAGGCCGAACACCGAGAAGAAAAAACACGAGGACCCGACAGGTCGGAGAACAAAATCCACCGAGCCCTTTGGAAAAGGGAACACACACACACATGTAGTGGATTGAGAGTAGATGGCGCAATCCCCAAAAGGTTGTGTATATGAAGCCCCATGCAAAAGACATCTTGGGGTTGGTGCCATCCACTCTGAAGACCACTGTAAACACCTTTCAACCAACACTCACCATGGGGGCCAACACCTCCACCCGACCCGCGGCCGCGCGGCATATTGCAAGGATTCAATCTCTTGGATCAACCCTGCGACGGAGCGGGAGTGAGCCAGCGTGGGAGGCCAGTTTTTTTTTGGTGAGGAGCGGACGTCGAGTGTTTGTTACAGGTGAGGGGCGTCGGCATACGGCGGTTTTGAAGTTGCCCGTCATACGTGTCATGGCCTGCAATTCCGAAGGTCACCATCTTTACGGATCGGATGATAAACACTGGAGGTCAACGATTTAGATGGTCTCGCGGTCTCGCGGTCTCGTCTAAGAGGGGGGCACACCAAACGACAACAGGAAGAGCTTGGGATGTGACATGACGTGATATGTGCCGGAGCAGGGAGCAGACCAACACCGGGACCAAGAAGGAATCCGATGGACCCCAACATTTTGAAGGCAAACTCTTGAGTATATTTCACTCCCCCACATAAATGAAGAGGTGTTCGTGGATCCATACGGGGGTGTTTAATTGATCAAGAGTCTACAAATATAGCTTTATGTGGTATCCGAAGGGCAGTTTAGCAGTTTGATTCACAATGCATTTGATCCAATTAGCTTTATGTGGATCCAAACAGGCTTGTTAGCATCCAGATACACAGAGGTCTTTGACCTTCCACTCTTTCGCAGGGTCCATTTGGGTCGAGCATGTTCAACGGACCCAGGATCACATCAGATGTATGATATCATCATGAAGACTCCCATCATAATGAATAAGGGGCAAAGGACCCAGGATCACATCTCCGAATGATATCATAATGAAGACTCTTGATGAAGAAACCCCCCATCATGAAGAGGATGTCCGTTCTTCCAATTGGGGAGGTGATGGTCCGCATTCCGAGTACCCCAGTTCCCTTCGGTTCCCTTCGGTTCCCTTCGGTTCCCTTCGGTTCCCGGTGTGGTTCCGAAGCCCACATGGGACATCCACATGGGTTTCTCATGGAAAAACAGCATGGACTTAACTGGAAGACGGCATGGCCTAGCTTCCTCCAAAAAAAAAGAAAACTAGTGGATTCTCAGGTTCCATGTGAGTCTTCCAGCACGTAACAAATGAATACACATGACACATGATGCAAAGCTTTCCCTGGTGTCCAAATGGCTCACAAATGTGGAGGAAACGGATCTGCCTGTGAGGCTGCCTAAAACTTGGAATCTCTCGGGGAGGAAGAGTCCTTCCGGTCACCTGTGCAATCAATTTCATGTTCGCGAGTTTGCTGTGCTTTCGCGAGTTGACCGTCTATTCACTCTCATCTTTTGGCAGATCAGCTTCTTAGTTCTTTCAGAGTTTTCAGAGGAGTGGACACGTTCTCTGAAAAAAAGCAGGCCACGTTCGTGCTGCTTCTCAGGCCGGAGACTGGACACGTTCGTGCTGCTTCTCAGGCCGCAGGTTCGGTGTGCTGTCTGTTCGGACGATGTCTTGGTACGGTTCCGCGCCGCTTTCGGACTGGAGACCCTCGAGCTTTTTCGTTCGATCCCCTTTATAGATCTTCATAGTGGATTGAGAGTACGTAGATGGCACAGACCCCAATGTTGGTGGTTCATATTCACCCTATCTTTTCAGGACATCATAAGGTCTGTGCCATCAAAGCTCTGAAACCACTGTACAATCGCTGAGCACTTGACTTTCTCCCCCACGACAATTCCCATCGCTCAAACGTTGGCGGTGCTCATGTTGATATGCTCTTCCCAGGCGCCCTAAGTAGATGGTCGGAGACGTCTGTCGAATTGGTTTTCACCGACGTCTCGCTTTACCTCGCTACACCTATGCCCCTCCGTCCCAGTGGAACGGTTCCATGCCAGACCGGGCTGGTCCGTTGCCGACCAGAGACTCCCACTGTCAGTGACCAAAACAGAAAACGAAGCAGGGCTCAGAAGAGGGCAACATGTGGTCCTGGTGTGAAGGCCGTTAGTTTAAGACAATTGTCTTTATATTTTACTATATTTTATATACATGGATACAAATAACATAAAAGAACTGTCTTCGTAAGATATAATAATAACCAAAAGCTAAGCTTCTACGGAAGGCTCCACATTCATCACATCATCCAATTATCTTGAAGTATCTACACCCAATCACTCTGGATCTCTTAGGAGCAACTTCTGACCACCAACGTCCCCACATACTGTATGCTCCAGGTTTTGCAGAACAAACGCCCCTCATGTAGACTCTCGACTCATTAAACCTCCCACAAAACATGGATTGAACAACCTCTTCAGTCTTATAAGAGTCTACACCCAGCTCCTCACCGCGTCGTCCCTCGGTGCCTCCCTGGTTGGGCAGCTTCGTCCAGCGCGCGATGCCGGCGGTCTCCGTCGAGGTGATCTCGCCCACCTGACGAACTTGCGTGGAGGTCCGGCGAATGGAGCCGAGGTTCCTTTGGGGGAATAAGGAAAAAGGCAACGCATCCAATCCAACAAAAAGCACTTCATTGGTGGGAACATGTTGGGGAATAAAAAGAACAACAACAGGAGCATCCAATGAACTCTGAAGACCGCTTCATTAGTGGGAACATGAGGCAAGGGTGATTAATATGGCATGTTATACTGAAAAGTTCCAACAGACCTTGGGCAGGTCATAGGCGACCTACGCTGTACATAAGTGGGTTTGGGGTATTGACTATCATTTGGTCCGAAGCTTTCATGAGATAGAATTTGGTTGTCTTTTTCATTCCAGGGAATTGTATAAACTTATTCTTGGTCTCCACTGCAGTTGAGAAACCACCTGGTGTAAAGTCGCTGAGTTCACTCTGTTGGCTGTTGGCCCGATATCCCCTTTTATCTTCCACACGCCCCAAGTGTCTGGCTCCACCAAATGTGAGGCTCCAGGCTCCACCTTCAGCAAAAGTCTACACTTCCCAGCAGTCCACACTTCCCCATCCTCATCCTCGCCTTAAAATAGTTGAAACTGTTGTCGCACTGACTCTCGCAGTAGCACACTTCCACCTGCCGGGCTGGTGCCCAGCACAGATCGACTCGCCGACTCGCGACCAGGGTGTCGACTGGGTTTTCACCTACCAAAGGTTCTATGTCCCTGCGGTCATTGGAGTGGCTCATCTCACTGCCAATCCATAACTGCAGTTAGATTCGGTTGACTAGAGTCTTGTTCCTGAAAAAGTCATCTGCCATTTTGTCATCCACACAATGGCATCCAAACAATGAGATTTGCTTGCTTTGTGAGCTCTGGTGTATAAATACATTGACCCATCCCAAACAGGACCAATGGAACGACTGGCGGCGGAACACCTCCATCGGGGGGCAGTTGATCTCGTGTAGAAGTATAGGTCCATCTGATCGATCGGTGGTGTCTGAACGAGACGTTCGAAACACTCCGGACCTTGCTTTCCATGGGCATCAGCCCCAAAAGGGCTGGATCGGCCCAGAACTTGTAGTCCCGCCGATCTCCTGCAGAACTCACTCGCCACGTCGCGGAACTGCTGAGGCATCTGTTTTTTTTGCAACAAAATTGAGTGAAACGGGCCTCTAAGAAGCCTTAAGGCACTGCGAAACCAGCACCTGACTTTTGTTGCCGCTCCACGGCCAACGGGAGCACGCGGGCGGACCCGTGTCGTCCTCCGATGAGGTGTGCGAGGCCGTTGATCAAAATCCCGTTCTCGTCGTATTGCAGGGGCGGCTCCCAGGCGATGTCATCGGTCCTCGGGTCTGGTGAAGATGGCGAAAGAGAGAGAGAGAGAGAGACAAAGAGCATCGATGGTGATCATGGCTGATCAGTTTTCTTTTCGAAAAGAGAAAAACAACAGGACCAAAAAACAACATAAATCATTCTTAGATTTCTTAGTGCATGTGGGTTTTGGGTAATCGAATTCCTGCAACAGATTTGGGTGATTCCATTGAGCTCCAACTCTGACTCCCGAGGAGATCTGATCTCTGCAAGAAAAACACATAAAGGTTAACCAGAGTTTTGGACTTGGACCACTTGCCGGTGGGGAGACCACTTGCCAAAGCAAGTCGGGCAGGTGATCCACAAAACTCCGTCATGGACAAGTTCAGCTCATATGCTTCGGACCCCAAACGTCCCTTGACTTGAAGGCCCTTTGATGGAAGCCATCCTTCGCATGCAGAAGCCTCTACAACCCAAGCAACAACAGTGGACAAATATCCCTTCGGAAGACTTTCCTCTAAGAGGCAGGGGGTTGTACATGTTACCACCCAACAAAAGCTTGGATCTGCGGGAGGTGTGAACCACATCGGCATTCTTTTCCAAAAAGACGTGCCTTTTCTCCTCCAAACATGCCGGTTAAAAAAAAAAAACGTCTGGTTTTGGTGCTCTCTCTCTCTCTCTCAGCCCAAGTCTCATGCTGGTCTCGATCTTACATCGACTCTGTGGCTCCCAAATGGCTCGTTCCGGCACCTCGATGTACACCACTCCATCGGGGCCTCGTGGAGGAAAACGGACAACGTGCCGCACACAAAAACCAACGATTTTCCTACCTGAAAAGGGGGTGGGAGGAGGAGGAGAAGATGGTTGGTCGGATGATTTAGTTGGATGGTTGGTCCGGATTTCGTTGGTCGAGATGGCCGTGGTCGTCCAAGAAACGGAAGACACTCATGGGCCCTCATGGACCGTGCTGGCCGCTGGAAAATAACATGATCCTCGACAAACAGGAGGTAAACTCCACGTTTATCTTTCTTGCAGGGAGGGTAATACCAATCAATTCTTGATTTGCACTATGATGAATGCCTGAAGTGTTACCCTCCCTGTCATTGGGGCATTGCGAGAGGCCTTCTTGGCTTTCATTCCTGTTTAGGGCTGCTTAGGGTCATCGAAAACAGTGAGAAAAACACAACAAATGACCAGCCCTAAGCACTGGAGTGAGCAATGTTCTAGAGCTACAATACGGCATGAACTTCCTATAATTATGCAGATCGCAATGATGTATGCAGTTCTTTTCTTGGACTTGACTATATAGACAAAAACTGAATATCTTTCCTATCGAATCAATTTAATTAGACCTAATACATGTCCAACGGGGCTGGCTTTCCAAACCATCCCCTGCTCTCCATCTCCCACACAGAAACTGTTCCACCCTTGCCTGGAGGAGGAATGCCAGGCAGGAACTTCACCCGATTGTCGGTGGCAGCAGCGCAAGACGTTCCACCTGGCCACCGCCGATCGTCCCCGCCGACGTCCGCGGTTCGGCGGCTCGAGCTCCGCCCGTTGGCAACCGGGTCTTTTTCACCCAGCCGATCTGTCCAGCCGATCTGTCGGTGTTCTTCTCTTCCTTCTTCGGTGGAGAAAGCCAAGTAAAGATGCCCCACGTCATACCCTCCCTGAAACAATCATGGACCCCCAGCCAGTATAGGAAAAACCACTTCCATGTTTGTGGAAGGGAGGGTACCAGGTCACGGATGTTTGATTTTCGATGTCCACCGGACCGGGTGGCACACTGGGTAATTCGGCGAACTGGTAAATCCACGAACTGGTACACTCTGAATTGAACACATGGAAGTGGATGCCCGTAAGACGCCGCAAGAGAAGACCTTTCTTCGTTAACCCACGGAGGGCAAACTTGCGTTCATCTGTCAACCCGACGGCGACCAACAGAAACAAAGCAACAAGCATGACAAGTATGGTCAACAATTAGATCGACCATTGAAAGCAAAAGGCCTTCCTACACAGCATGTCCCAAATTGAGGCATTTGGCCCAATTTGGCCCAAGTGTCTACCCCCAATAGGTATGAATCCTAGTGGAAAAAACAATGAAGCGTCACCACAACCTCATCAACATGGAGGTGATCTGTAAACTGTAAACCTTATAAACCTTTGTGGAAACCGCTCGCTCCTTTTGTGATGCAATGATTTTCACGCCGTCTTGGCCTCGGACAGAATGACATTCGCCCTGTAGGTGACGCAGTGACCCAGGGACTACGATTCCATCCCATACGATCCCAGGGAGTCAGAGCGAAACACACATAATTGCAAACAACCGGATCGTTTACTGGGCAACAGGGTGGGGGCAATGTGGATCAATCACTTACACCCGGCTGATGGGAGGAAAACCAGCAGCTTCTGTTCATACGCTCGGACGACTCGTGTATAAAACATTTCTTTGACAGGTGCTGCAAGATGTTGTGAGGTCTTTGTCAGGACGCAATTCCAAATGCAGTCCCCTAAAGAAAATATTAAGATAAATTATGAAGAGTGGGAGTCTCAATGATATGAATGGGGTAAATACGGTTAAATAACATCTTGTACCCACTTGAGATATATAGATTCAAGATGATTCAAGTCCACATGGGCGACGCCCTCGATGAACCACATGTGACGACTAAATGGGCGACGCCCTCGATGAACCACATGTGACGACTAAGAAGTCAAGAATGGCGCCTGGAGGACATTCCACTCGCAGGACAAAGGGCTGCCTGCCAAATCTGCCCGCTAAGTTCACACCGATTCTCTAAGTCTCTCTTAGTGGTTCTCCAATTCTTCCATATTTCTCCCCACGCTTTACCATCTTTACCTTGCTCATCCGATGAGCTAGAGTTTGTCTCCGTGGTCCGTTGACCTCGCACTCTTGACTAGTTGGCTGCGTGAGAATCAAATAATATCCCCACGCTTTGGACCCGCAAAAGCATGAATCCATTTGATACTCCAAAGGACGAGTAGAACCTGGTCTTTGACCTGAAGTATTGGTTTTGTATGACCATCTCTAGTAAAATGAGGTCTCTGACTTGTAGGGATTTGATACTCCAAAGGACCCTCTGTTTTTCACTGTGCCCCCACCAACCATTGGTGGTGTCCAAAATGGACTCGGACTGTGTGGGTCGATCGGATCGTGTGGGTCATCTGCTGCAGTAGGCCGTTTCATGCCGTCTCTGCTTTTGCCCGGTATCAAAAAAACACTCCAGCACAATGGCCACTGGTTTCTCCTAAAGTTCTTTTTAACTGAAGAAGCCAAATCACCAAAAACGAATTCTCCACCTGACCTGGTCACCTAGGGTGTCAAAGCATCTGCATGGAAGAACACTGCACCGTCTATGTTTGAAAGCACTTGGAAGAATCGTGGGAGTCCTTCTCTTCAACCTGCGACCAAATGGTAAATGATGGCAAATGCATGGTTGTGAGAAAGTAGCTGACTCAATCCCAGCTACTCCGTGATTAGACTTAGAGACATGAACATGTTTTTTGATGCGACGGGTTCGTTTGGGACTCTTCCATACTCTTCCCACCTAACCTGGGTCACCTGCACACCTATCTCTTGCCTCATCTCCCAGTTGGTCCAAGTTACTGAGGCAAAACCCGCATGAAGGGCAAGTTGCCTGCGTCGAACAAGGGAGAAACGTGTGGCCATTTTCTTCGAACGACTCGCGTGACGGCTTCAGCTGCTATATTCCACATAGTTATGGATTGTTGAGGAATGTAGGCTGATGATGATTCAACCCCAAGCCTCTTCAGAGGTTGACCCCAATCCATGGACGGGGTGTCAATGGATCAGTCTACATGACGAAAAGACTGGAGGAGTCTGTGAACCGCGGCGGAGTTGACACTCCAACAAAAAGGTGACAGTAAAGGACGGATGCCTTTGGAGGATACAATGTGAAGTCCAAACAACACTTGGAGGAAGTTTGGTGTGCTTTTGGTTTGAACATCTTAAAAAAAGGATAAACCAAAACCATGAACAAACCCACCTAACCGTGACACGAGTTTGCTACCATTTTTCGCTCGTTCTTCAAACACCTGATCAGGGCACTCAATAATCAAGGTCTCAACGCTCCATGCTTCCAAAGTGAGTGCACATTTGTTGTCTTCGCAAAGTCCAGGTAAAGCTCTCTCAAGTGTTCATTGTGTTCATTGGGTAAACCTAGCCGTATGCGCCATATGGTCGTGAGTCATTATGATCATTATGATACCAAACATGTCCCCATAAATTCACACCCTCATTGACTCATTGTGTTCCGTTTGGAGCGTGTAAACCTTCCTACCTCTTTCCTAAAATTCCTGCCCCACCAGACCATGGGATTTTATGGCTATAGAATCCCGAACGACATGAATAACCCTTGTTTCTCGTTCTTTACTAAGGATTTTAACTGTTACACGAGGTCACCGCATTTGTTTCAATGTGTTCGTTTTCCTCGGACGCCGGACGGCGTCACCGGTGGGTCACTCCCCAAAAAAGAAAGAACGGCCACCTTCGGAGCCACAAGAGGAGTAGGTCTCCACGTCACAAATCCTCAGAACAAAGAGACCCAGGAAGCTAACAGGAGAGCAGGGATATACTGGCGGCAGACTGAGGAGTTAGGGCTGCTAGTGTTATAGGAGTTATGCTATGTTGCAGCGCAGTATATATGGAGTTGTAGCATGTTGTAGCTGGGCTCTATACACATGGCTCTAGATGTTGCTTCAAACAGCCATGATGAACTCCCTTGCTTTGAGAGTTGCTGACCCGGAGCCGTGGCACTCCTTGCTGTGGGTGATCGGATGGAGGTGATCGGATGTCCTCCATCTCTGATCTGTGACTTGATTTGTTGGTATTTTATGGGACTGGAATGCTTAATTACTTAATTCCCTCTATTCACGCCATCATTCGCTTTGACCCCTTGACCCCTGAAATCAGTCATTCAAACTGGTCGTTCAATGAGTATACCGGTACTTCCCAGCCAAAATGGGCCTCGACACCCCGGGACTCCCTGCCGAATCATCCAGTAGTAGATCACCCCGATGGGTTGGATGAACTCGCTCGCATGGTCGCAAGCCTCGGGTCGACGAAGCGCATTGGACGACCTCCGTCTGTAGGATTGTCACCCCTGTCCTGTCAAGTCAATTCTTGACAAATTCATCCACTTGGTGGAACCCAGCGCACTATATAATAGTGACTTCACTTCTGCAAGAGTCATGCACTTTTCGTCATAGTCCAGCCCCTCCATGAGCAAGTTCAGTTCAGCATTGTCAAGTGTTTTTTTCTCATTTGCACGCAGCCATGACGTGGTCTTGAAACGATGTTGCGAATGTTGAGGATGTCTACCACATCATTGATCATCTTTACCATGTAACCCAGCCTGATGTGTTATTGTTGGCAAAACCCACAACACTAAGTCACTAAGTGCAGTTGTAGTTACACATCAACCTAGCTACACAGCTATGTGGTGATTCTCCAGGTGAAAGGGACCAACAGCCGTCAACTAGTAACTATAAGCCAACACGGAGGAAACGGAATTCATTTCCCAAATTCGGACGTGACAGCGTGACATCCCCAAAAAGCAAATGCCCCCCCGGCATTCCTGACACCCACAACTACTGGTAACCCCCCCAAAACTGGTTGGGACCAACTGTTGGACACCCCAAATCAGTTGGACACTGAACGCCCTGGTTGGACGACACCCGTGGAAACCACGTGACGAAGAGGGTGGCGTCCACCGGGCCATCGTAGTTGGGACCTCGAGCGAAGAAGGATGGACTGCGGCAGACGGAGAGAGCGACGGAAGAGGCTTGGCTAAGAGATCAAGTCGTTCTTCAAAAGGGTGAGAACTCCTCTAAGTCTCTAAGTTACAGTGAATCAATGGGCAGAAGGTCTTCCTTTGACAGAATCAATACACATCACATCCATTCGAAGCTTTCTGTTTCTGAAGTCTTGACCAGTAGTAGTCGTACCAGCTGTAATTACGTTATACATATGTTCTTCATCCATTTTCCCCAGCATGGTCGTACCTGGGAGTTTCGGACAGCTCGGATGGTGGACAGTGTGTGACCTTCACTCCTCCCCATCCATCGAGCCGAACTCGCCGAACCACTTGGAACCACCGGGCGCCAAACAGGGCACCCGGTCAGCCCGGTCACCGTGAGGGTTCGACGAAGACATGCCGAGACACTCCATGGGACTGCCATGCATGCCTACATTGACCCCCCCAAACCACCCCAATGTAGGCATATATGGCATACATGGAGTGTCTCGGCATGTGACATCATGTGACCAATCCGCCTCTCCAGAGCAACACCCCTAGACCCCCAAACCACACCCCAAAAGCCCCGAAACCAACCCTAATTATATAAAAACACAGAAACTGTTAAGCTGTGCGCCACAAATTAATCATACTATATAACCCCCAGTCACAAATCGCCACAACACACAACTTTCCCCATCTGCCCCCCCATCTGCCCAAGCCATCGTGTTTTTGTCAACGTCTGACGTACAACGACCTCTTTGCCTTCCCAGCGGCAATAGCAGGCAGTGATGGTAAATCCCTTCGTCACGTTCGTCCGCACGCTCGGCAGATTGGCCGCCGTCGAGGCGTCGGCGTCCAGGCCGCTGCCCGTCGGCGGCGCCCACAGGAAGTCCTGCCCGGCGAGCGAAGCGGCGTGCGGGGGCAAGTGGTGTGAAGCGGTGTGAAGCAGTGGAGGAAGTGGGTAACCTGGATGCAATGGCAAAAGGGGGTAGAATCCGGAATCGAGGATTATGAAGGAATAAGATGGAATGAACATGATGTGGAACTGGACCTTTGGTGATGTAAAGCTGCGCCATAGGAAGCTTTACTTTGATCATCATGGATCATCATCACTGGATCCTCTTCGATCACTTTTTCGGCATCCACGTCCAACTTTTCACTTGGGAGGCACTTGGTATACTTGTGATACAACTTATTTGGTATCTTGTTTGGTATACTTAGTATACTTGGTCCACTCTCCGATACAACTTTTCACTTGAAAGAGTTTGTGAAGGAAATCGTGTGATACCAAGAGCAGGAGACCTCCCAGTTCGATCGCTTCGTTCGCAACATCCGATGTGTCAAGAACGTTGTTTTGGGAGTATGGTCCATGGAGCGGGTGATCCATTCTATGTGGTATAGGTCTTTTCTTTCGAAGTCCATCCAGTCCTTACGAGAGGTCCAGACCGTGGCATGTGAGAGGGGGTTGTATGCTGCTAAGCACTGCGCGCATTGGTGCAATGGTCCAGTCCCATGGACGGACTCGGACGAACTCCTTTGGATTGAAAGGATCACATGGAGCCGTGCCCAGCTTCTTCCCCGCGCCACGTGGGGAGGGGTCCCCCCCCGCGCCTCGTAGTTGGCGGTTTCCGGAGAGATGTAGTCGCCAGTGATGACGTTGGAACACTCCTGGGACCCGCACTGCTTGGGAAAGGAGATTTACAGGCATTTACAGGTCAAAGACCTCATTTTAATGGAGTTGATCATACAAAAACAAAAGGACCAGGCTTTACTCGGTCTTAGGACCTGTAGAGCTAGCCAAGAACAAGACATGATTGCTTTTGAACCATCGGACTCTTGAGCTGAACATCGAGCCCTGAAATCGAGCCCGTCACCAGTCCCAGAGTCCCAAAGAGGTCATGCTTAGCTTTCACGAAACTTCTTAGCATGGGACTGTGAGGCTCCGGGACTCCTGACATGAAGCTTTCAAGCAACAAATGGAAGTGCACGTGTGTTCTTTCGGGGGGGAGACCCCCAACGAATGGAATTGTGTCGGCCAGCACCTGTTCATCGAGCCGCAACTACGCTTCCATGCACTTTCCATCGATAGTAATGTTTGAGCAACAATTCATTAATAAGTCTTTGTTGTGTTAGAATGGCTTGCAAGCAAACATGAACTAAAGTGGCTCTGTATATTGGACAGTTCATGACAGTTCCAACTTCGTTGCTTGTTGAACTTGCTGTTTTGGCCCTCTTCAGGGCTTCAGTCTCTGCTATGGTCGCTATATCTTGCTTTGGTTTCATCTTTAGCAAACCCTATACTGAGCATGCAAGACCTGAGACCTGTCATTAAGAAAGGATACAGGAAAAGCACACACACACCAACTGAATACTGATCGGACATGAGTTGACTCCATGACTCGATCCGGGAGGGAACTTGTCAATCCATGACCCGCCTGCCGCACAGCAGGCGTGAAGACGCCATCCACGAAGGTATCATCACCCCAGGCCTCTTCGGTGTGTGCGAGAGCACCGGAAACAAAAAAAAAAAACAAAGAGAGCTCAAAATCAAGTTCGAAGGTGTCGCAGACAGAACTCTACAGTAACCTCCATGAGAAGAATTCTACAGATTTTGAGAAGAACCTCCATGAGGTTCGAACCCTCCATGTTCTTCTTCTTCTGACACCACAAAGCCTCTAAAGCCGACTCTTCCATCTCACGTCCGCGCCGCCACCGTGCCGCCACCGCCCGCCTGGGTCCAGCTCACCCGCGAGGTGCCGGCCAGCTGCACCGTCCAGCCATCGCGGCCCCCGCCGTAGAGGCGGAAGTCGATGCGGCAGCTGCCCAGGCCCTCGCCTATCGTCGAGGCTGCTTGGGTGGGTCGTGTGTGCCGTGTGGGTCGTGTGGGTCGGTAGGAAGGATTGCTCTTCTTTCGGTGGACACCGGTGTGTCAAACAGGTGTGGACACTGGTTGGGGGTGACAAAGAGGTGACCCGGTGATGGGACTCGGAGGCGATAGGACTTGGATGGATTCTCCTGATATTTCCCCTCAAAAAATCCCTGGGAATGGAAGTGATCGGACTTGATGACCAAAAACTGGCACTGGTAAATCAGCTGATCTGCAGGAATTTGTCTGGATGAGCTGCAATAGTTCAGAAACATCAAGAACATATGCTGGATCACTTGCAACACTCTTCATTCTGGCAGCACAGCAGCTGGTCAGGTCCTTGTATTTCACTCAAGAAACTGACAATATGACCAAAAGCCACGGTACCCTAGTGTGTTTGTAGTTGTTTTGTGACGACTTGCTAGCGTGTGCTTACAAATCCAAACCCATATATTAAAAAAATATAAACACATATTGTTCGACGGTGTTCATGTTTCAGGTGCATTCGTGCCAAACATGTGAAACTCACACATCCACTTTCAACCCACGCCTGCATAGGCCACGTAGCAGTCCCATCGCTCATTGGCCAGGCAGCCATTGGATAAACAATTGGAGGCCACCCCCACCACAGTGATGACCACTGGGACGAGGTTATTTCTCCACCTGGGCCGGTCTTGGACTTTGAATGCGCTGTGACAAAAGAACAAAGGTTCTCACCGGTCCGGTAGTCAAGGATCCGATCTCAAAACATCAAGCAATCAAGCCGATCTCAACGTGTCTTCGTTGAAACAAAGAACGCATAAACAAGAATCATAGGAGGTCCCTGTTTCATCTCCGGGATGACCTGAAAAACGCCTTTACCTTTGATCCGACAGTGCCTTCGTCTTAGAGGATCGAAGAAGAACCGCCGAAGAACAACAATAGCTCAGCAGCGCATATTCACACGGGACGTCCTCTCGAAAGCCACGGTGCACGGTGTGGAAGGACTGGCTGTTTGAAGAAAAAACATGTGGTGCAGAAAGCCAAAAAAGGGTTAGTATCGGTAAACCAAACATTCCACTGTTCTTGTTTAGTGCGCGGAAAGCGATTCCCACAAAACAAATGGTTAAAGGTAATATATAATATAATTTATATATCTTTTCCTGGGTAAGAAGAAGGATTTACCGGCAATCCTTCGGTCGCAAAATACCAAGGCACTCGTCCCCAAAAAAGCTGCCATCTGGAGAGTAGCAAAGCACGTAGAAGCCGCCATGCCTCAGCTTGTCAAAGTATACAGAGGGGTATATAATTCCTGAGCCACAGCCAACAATCCAAACCCATGAGTAGTAACAGGATAAATTTATATACAGTGGTTTCAGAGTAGATGGCGCAATCCCCAAGTTTGGTGGTCCTGGTTTATAAGGACCCCCCATATTAAATAAAAAAACATGTGTTTGTGCCATCTACTCTGAAACCACTCTAAATGCATCTAAACTCTGTGAGTTCTGGGTCATATTTTCTTATCATAGACTTAGTCATAGCCACTTGGTCGGAACATGGATCATTCACATCTACACCATGGAACTCGATGGCATCGGGCGATCGATGGCACTCAAACAATCACACCCTTGTTTGTTCGTTGCTTGGGCGATCGCGGCGATGGGATGGCCGGAAACAGCTGGAGCCAAGTCTAGGCTGGAGCCAATTTTGTTTGTCCCATCTGAAATCCTACAGAGGGCGATGTGGTTGGCAAACGCTTTTCAACAGGCACTTGGGACGCAAATCCAAGTAAGTGGTCTTGATTGCCTGCAGCAAGGCTCTGGGACACTCCAAGTAATCCTCTTGAAGCAAACAACCCACTTCAGCACTGTGACTGTAATTTGTGTTGTTTTTATCCCTCCCTGTGTGTAGTGCAAGAAGTTGTTACGTACTTTGTGACTGCATCCGAATCCCACTCATTCCAAGTGCAACCTTTCCTATTATAGACATCACTGGCATAAGATACTGTATCATATCTCTCTCTGTCAGCACAACGACGTTCCTCTCTCATCTCCTCCGCTTCCTTCGATCCAGGTGCATAAAGGTCAGGTGTGGCCATTGCACTTGTTGAAACAAGGCCTCAATCACGACGGTCACGACGCGCTTCAGGCGCGATCTACCCAAAGGCTTTCGGACATGGACATGACTCCGATCCCAAAGCGGAATACTCTCCGAGTCATTGAAGTGGCGTTCACCACCTGTTTGTAGAGAAGAATGGTCTTCCATGTGCTGAACTGTTCCAATGCCATGAGTATTTCAGGGAGTACTACTGGAAATGGCTTCTTTCCAAGGCTGAAGAGCGCCTCGTTCCAGGGTGCCACGTACACGCGAACCAAACAGGTGGATTCGGAGGCTCCGCCGCAATCATTCCTCACCGGTTTCTAGAAACAACTTATCAATACTGGGAGTATCGTAATTATATATTAAGGGTATATATCATTTACCAGTAACAGTGGATGATAATGGTTCAGTTGCAGGCCTTTCTCTACAGTAGTGTGTTATTGTTTACCGACTCTTACAAACATAACACACATGGCAATAGGACAAACCCATGACAAACCCAACTTTTTGTATAGTTCGTGAAACTGTGATTCGCTCCCGAGTCGCCTCGCCACCGGCTCGCCAGCGACGCACTGTACGCTTGCGCCCTGGAACACAGCGCACGCTGGAGGCTGCACACCCAGGTTTACTGGGCGCTGGAATCTCCACCGTCTCGTAATCTACCGTGTCTTTTTCTCCTGACACTTCCCGCCACACTGGCAAGTGCTGAAACATTCCAACTGGTGTGCGTGTGTGTGTTCCTGGACGGGTCAACCGCGCACGCGTGCCACCCCGTCGGCATTCGTAGCACGTACATCGCCTCCAAGGAACGTTGGTGCCACCCTGCGGCATTCGTAGCACGGCACCCGAGGCCAAGGGCGAAGCGCTCTTGGTAAGTTGGGTGGAACCTCAACTGACCAACTGCCGGCTGATGTGTGTGTGTGTGTTTGTTTTGTTTTAATGGTTTTTGTTTCTGTTCTTGTTGGTTGTGTTTGTTTGTTCTTGGGTGGCAACGAAAACACTGCTTACAACGTTGTGTTATGTTGTGCTTAGTGTGGACTCTTGGATACTTTTGGTGGCCTCTCGAAGTTTGATCAAGTGCGACTTTTCTCAGGACCGGGTTTGGACCTGTGTCAGACTGGACCTGTAGGGCAAAACGGAAAACTTCTTTCGATCTATGTCACTCCTCGAGGAGTCACACAGAATGTTCTTCCATGTTCCTCCCAAGTTGCCAAGCATTTGTTCTTTTTGTGGCCGCAGCTGGCTCAAGTTGTCCTGGTCATCAGCAAAAACACCAATTGTAATCTCAAGTGTTGATTCTACTGACCCAATTCACAAATTCATACCACTACATGCTCTATCTCTGCTCTACTCAGAGGATCTCAGAGTTACAGTTACACCTTAAATCTCAAACTATATCCCACACACTCCATGTATGGAATATATGCCTACATTGACCCCCCAAACCACCCCAAGCATATATGGCAGTCCCATGGAGAGTCTGGGTATGAAACCAAAACCACTCTTCGTTCCCGCCGTCCACACCGGCACACACCGGACACCCGCCGTGAGAGTCTGCGGTAGACCGAGGTGCTGTTGCGTGTCAAGGCCATGGGCACGTTGTAATCGGCGCGCTCGCAGGAGCCGCGGGTGGCGTCGGAGTAGACCAACTTGATGATCGCTTCCTGCCGAGACGGCGGCGCGGTCCAACCGCGGCTGGAATTAGACGACATCACTGGGTGAGGCTGCGGTTTTTGATAGTCCAAGGTAGGCTGCGGATCAGGAGTGATGTTCGGAGCTGATCACAGAAATGGTGGGGTGTCTCCTCACATGTGTAGAGACTTCTTTGGATTGGGACGGGGTGTCAGGCTTGTGACACACGGATTGGTGGATGGTGGAGCTTGGGATGTGTATCCACAACGAACAGAATAGCTGGGAAGGGACAAGTAATTAAACTAATATTAAACACATCTACTGTATATAGAATTAACCTGAAGTAGATTGAATAGAATATATATTATTATATATATATATATATGAACCAAGTAGGATTGTACTTATCCTTATTGTGCTGTGGATATGTATTTGACATCATCTGTTAAAGAGGATAACTCCGCAAGTTGAGGGTTTAGTCGTGTTCAGTAGAAGTACTAAGGACGCAGAAGCATTCCTGGAGCTCCAACTACCTCCTTTTAAACCCACCTTTCTCGGATTTTTGCCCACAAAGAACAGGACAACCTCAGTGACAGGATCGCACCAGGTGACCAAACGTCCTTCTTCGCAGATCATTTCAATTAGTCTTGGAGGCCGTGCTGAGTGCTCTACAGGTGTTCATGGTTACGTTGACTCTTCATTGCAAGGCTACGTTCCAGCCTTACACACCAGAAATTGCCAAAGTGTTGAACATCCAGTGGCCAGTGAACACCGTGTGATTTCTGCTGGTCTTTCACGTCACTGCTCCCCTAAACATGTGTCTCTAGATCAGATCTTTGGAAGATCCACATGTTTTGGGGTTTAAATGCAGGACATGGAATCCACCCGCACCGAAAAACCGCGAACGACCAGCCAGTCACATCAGTCCTGATGTTCAATTCCAAATTGGTAGTCGACAGGCATGCTAATCTGTACAGTGCTGTACTTGTAGCCAGCAAGTACAGAGATACTAACCTGGACGACCGTTCGACGACTCAGCTCTCAGCTCCGGACGGTGGCTTGGGGACCATGGCCCGAGCCCGATTCCCGATGGTCCCGAAAGCACCGAAGGGGTCGAGTTTTTGGGGGGGTCACAGCCTGGCCACCCAGGGTCCTGAGAAGGACGTTGGCTCCTGGAGAAGGAGCTTTCGATGTGGTTTTCGATGTGGACGGTTGTCGCGGAGCTCTGTGACGCTGCACTGAGGGTACAAATATTGGTTCTGCATATAATATATACAGTAACCATAGTGAAACAATGTGAAACATGTATAGTGAACGACCATTCCTTCGTAAGTCCTTCGATAGATGTTGAGGGTCTCCTCCTCCTCCTCTGGTCCTGCAGCACCATTGCCTAGACCCTCAAAAGAACTCCGCAAAACTATGTAAAACTGGAAGACTTGCCTTTTGAACAACTTCAAAGCCCAACAAATGAACCTCACAATGTGAGCAGCTGCAGCTGCAGTGTCTATACACCTTAATTTGGGTTATATGGATTTTCTCAGACTCTTTCGCCGAATTCACCCTATCCTCCGGAGAGGTTCAGTGCCCAAGCCAAGGGACAGCGGATAGGCTGCCGCTCCCGAAGGCGTCGCTCACCAAAGCACTTAGAAAGCCGAGGCCTCGACGTCTCGTTTGCTTGGAGCCCTTACCCGGGATGGTTAATGAAATTCAGTCGCCACCAAGGACCAGTACCCCTCGTTTTTGTGGGGTGTTCTGGTACAAGAATGATTATACATGATTTTACTTCTCCAGGTTTGGGTGTTGATCACGCAGTCTACATTCTCAATCCATTGCGATGCCCCTCGGCTTCCGATGGGCAGGTCCCTGCCGCCCAGTGACGGGTGCCGGTGGGGAACTCCCACTCCTCCTGGGCGGTTTCCATCGTCCGATGTTTCGGTCGGAATGATCCACGAGTACTCGACCGTGGTATCTTGAGCGATGGCCTCCATCCTACGAACGCGATCTGGTATACATACCTGGAGCCATTTGAGAACTGGATGCAGATCTTCAAACAAAGGATGAGGGATCCGAGCAAAGCCAGGGAGGCAACACGGAATATTGTTTGAGAGAGCGTGCTTGCAAGTCAGAGGAAGCACATAGCTTGCATGACTACATTATACATGATACAAATATACATATAACTTAACTCAATCACTCACTAACTTAAACTTAACTATGAAGTGCTCTGAAAAGGACTTTCAATCACTGTGAATGATTGACTTTCTGGTCTTTTCCCATTGCCTGTGCCAAAAACATGTCATCCTTCTGTCATGATCATCCCCTTCTTCTCAACAACCCGCCCTCGTTCTCCTGGATCCTCAACTCCGTCTGCAGCCGTCTGGAGGCATCTGACGATCCTTCTCCGCCGCCTGAGGCACAAACAAATTCCTCCGAACTGGCAAGCTAGGTGAGAACATGGTTTTCAACCATGGGCCGCTAGCAGCCATGTTTCTTTTCATCTCCTATCTCCTGATGCACTTGAACATCAAAGTAGCGGTCCAGTTGGGATTTCGGACGGGACGTGTCCAGTGTTTCTCATGCCGCTGCACGGTCAACATGACTGAAATCAGCCAATGGTCATCAGTTCCACGGTGGCCAGATTAGATGGCTCAGTTCCACGGGTTTCCCCAAACACACGGTCCACTTCTCTGTTTCACGGTTGGGCGCCTGACTTCACATGTCCATGAAAGCCACACACCTGTGGGGGTGCCCCAAAGGCCACAAAATCACCTACTTCTCTGCAGCGGACCACATGGAACCTGAAAACCACTGGGTTGTAGAGGAAAACTGGTTGAAACCATCGGTCAAGTCTGAGGTTCCTGCCGTGTTAGGTTGCAGGAGAGTAAATCAGCAGTCTTAGGGGATCTCCAATGCTGTAGAACTTCGGCTAGGGATTCTTCCATCCTTCCCCACCTCGCCACCCGGGATCTTTCAATATCCGCATCCCCCAAAAAAACAACACCCCTGCTCCCTCAGGCGTGACTCTCTTTTCTCACGTTTTGGTCGCCTCGCCGCCGTCCTCCGTGAGGTGTTGTCGCCTGGAACGGCGCGGCGCCGAACAACCCGCGGCGCGCCGTGGTCGCCGCGCCGCAGCAAATGGTGCGAACTGGAGCCATGGAATCATGGGACCAAAGGATTCAGGGAATGCACTGCACGCGGTAACTCAGTTGAAAGGGTACCTGCTGCGACGTACAAGGACCATCACGCTGGTTCTGTTTGTGGGTCGCTGATTGCAACCATTGGGACGTAACGAAACAAAGATCATGTGTTATGTCTTTTCCTGGGCTTGCGGACTCACCATCACTAGAAGCCTGGCGATTGATCCTAGTTATGTAAATAGCCGCACTCACACATCTAGAGTCGTTTTGAGGCACACACCACCTACAGCTGCAGTCCCCAGGTCCTGTCTCTTGGTCCTGCAACTTCGTATTGACTATATTGTGTTTTGTTGCATGAGATCTGAGATCAAGGTCCAGTAGAATGAGGACTGAGTTCAGGCGCTCCGCAACCACCAGCTTTCAATCTGGTCAGTGGCAGAGTCAGGTGCCATTTCGAAACATGAAGGGAGGATGGGTCTTCTTCCAACAAAAAATCATGTTGGTCTTGTCATGTCCTCCGCAACTGCCGCGCCTGCGGTCGTGCCTGCGGTGTCCTGGATGGGTGGGGGCTCAACTACTCCCACCCCCCGGCGAAGCACAGGAGCCTTCTACGACTGACATGTAGCTTGGGAAATGGGCTTCGTGGGATTTTGGGGAGGGAGAAATGTTTTTGTTGATAATTTAATACCGTTTTCGATTGGGGTGCATCTGAAGGTGTGACTCGTGACCAGATTTCAACTGTTTGAAGTTTGGAGAAGGATTTTGCTTGACGAAATCAACATGTGAGCGACACGTGTCTCACTCTGGTTTCCCAAACGAAACCAGTGAGCTGAGGCCCCTTTTGCAGCACTGACAAAAGTACCTTCAAATATACCAGGAGTCACATGTCGGGGTGTTTTTAAGTCCCTAAGTGAGTGGATGTTCTGGGCACTCCTATCCTCCAAGTTCGGCACTTGTGACTCCTGGTAGATGTGCGTGGTGTATGGAAGAGTCTTGGACCCGATGTCCAACTGCGGGGTGCAAAGATGTTCAAATGCCGGTCAACCTCTTGGCCAATATGCGGGATGCACAGGCTAACATACATTCACCCACCTTCACCCACCTTGGACTTGGCCAAGTTCCACGCATTTCTCCAACCCCCACAGTTCTGGGATCGGCACTAATATGACTGACACAAATCCATGGCAAAAGGAAGCTGCTCTTTCGGCTAGCCATGCAGCCCTTTGGAGTCCGGTCTCATTGATATACACCTCCAACCAGAGTCATCGGGCGCCCCGCCCAGTCGCCGGTCCTCCTGGAGCTGTTGGACCACTGGGCCGCCACGAGGCAAAGAGACCAAAGCCACAGCCGCCTCGGGCGCGGCGCAGCAGCTTGGCGCGGCGGGCTTCCGAGCTCTTCGGGGCGGCACCCGATGCGGGCTGGGCTCAAACAAACGAGCGGTTGGCCTCCCGTCGGAAAGGATGTCGATTGAAAGGATACCTCTGCAAAGTATGACCTCCTCGCGGACGAGTTGTTTCCAATTGGGTGAGCCTTTAGGGTTTAGGGTGGACTCACATGGACACGTCCGGTCCCTGAGAGAAAAGAAACACCTCCGCCGTCCGCCTTTGCGCAAAGCAGAGTGACCAGACGGGTTGGAAAAAAAAACGGCCGGATTCTTGGGAGCTACCCAGTGCGTACCCAATCAGTAATAGATTCCCAGGACCCTGTAGCCTTCCAAGACCATTAACAAAAATGCTTGACCTGGTGTTGTAGTGTAAAATCCTCGGAAAAAACTATGGTTGTTCGTGATTCAAAGCATTAAATCCAATGAGCCAGGAAACGTATATAGCGCTTATATATAGGGTGTAGATTCCGAAGACAAACATATTGGACACCAGGCCCAATGCGCCACCATCACGACTTGGGCCGCCACCGAAAGAGCATCAGGACCGATGCCGCACATGGACGCGACGTGCCCCGGTTAGGGTGAAAAAGTCTGGAAGTCTTGGCTGACCCGCTTCGATGACCAGTCTGATAGTGCCTTGTCAAGGGGGTTCTTGAAAAGCTTCTAGAAGGTGCCCCAGTCGGGTGGCAGCATCGCACATGTCTTCAATAGGAAGCATCGACCCTCTCTGTTTGCTCGACCCCTTTTATGGCCGTCGACTTGATTCACTCGCCCTTGCCCGCCCCGACCCGAATCGGTCGGGGAGTCCTTCAACGTATATGGAGTATAGAACGCTGCGGATGCCGCACGGACTGGCGTAGTCGTCTGATTAGGGCAGGGGTGTGGATAGCATGCCTCCTGCAAAAAACGTCTTTCGATCTAGAAACAGGCGGGGGTTCGGCTTCCATGTGATGTGTTCGTCGGAGTGTAGGCATGTGGAATTCCATACATATGGAGTGTCTGGGAAATGATTCATCAAAGACTCTATGTCCAACAATTACGGACGAGGCCTATGATCATCTCACGGCCATTGGGGTGGATGGTACCCAGCTGGATCCAGTTGACGCCTTTGACACCGACATGAGCTTGGTGGATGACACAGAACATGTGACTGGTCGGTGTGGGTTAACCAAGTGTCGTTTTGGAGCACGTACGCCACACCAACATGAGCTTGGTGGATGACACAGAAGTGTGTGGGTTCACCAAGTGTCGTTTTGGAGCACGTCAGTTCGCCCAAACCTGAACGGATAGTGACCACGAGGTCTAAGGGTCTAAAGGTCAGGTCAATCAGGAACCGACCAAGGTCAGTTGATCACACTACGAACAGCCAAGGACCACCAAACCTTTGGGCCACGCGGTGGGGGATCTGGTGCGGACGGGAGTTGGTTCACCTGGGAGAGGTTGGATGCGATAGCCGAAGACAAAGTAAGTAGGGTTCATGTGACATGTGTATTAAAATAGGGAGACCCATCCCAGGCAACAACCCCCTGGAAGAATAGACCAGTCTACACATTGCTATTAAAATACACCTCCATGTTCCTTAATGAAGTAATCAGTAATGCCTTGACATTATAAGTCTTGGGCTGAGGTCCCTGGTGATGATCCCTGTGAGAACTACCTCAGGGTTGTTGGCAGATCCTATAAGCGTTGATCATAGTGGTGTGACAAATAGAGAGACAACAACATCCAATGTACGTTTTAAGGATATTGTGTTTTTTAACCAAGAATCATGGACCATCAAAGGATCTCAAAGGGGAAGGTTTTGAGGATCCAAAACCCTGCAAAAAGCTGGGTCAAAACCCTGCATAGGAGGTTCAACTATATAATGGTTGCTGGGTTAAAAAGTTCTGTACACTTGGGGTCCACCTATATCTATAGTAACTATAAAATTATAGGGTATTGCTGGGGAGGACAAAGCTGCAACCCATCTGAGCCCTGCTTTGATGGAAAGCAGTGCAATGTTCTCTTTGGGGTGGTAAGTTGGTATTCCAAAAACGCAGGGGTGAAAGAGCTTGACAAAGAGTTAAAGGAAGACACTCCCAAGGGTCAAACCCTCAAAATCCAAATGCATGCCAAACAGCTTCACAAAAAAAGGTAGCTGGCAGCTGGACTCTCGGGATGAGTTCCATCTTGTCTTCTCCCTCAAAAAACCAACAAACATCCACTCCGCCTCCCTTCACCTTCTGCGTTGCGGGAACCCCGGACAGCATAGAAGCATTGATCCACGCAATTCTTCGCCTCTTCCGCTGGTCGGCTCAGGCTCAGCTCGACCCATACGGTTACGAGTCCCCAAGCCAGCCACGGTCCCGAAGCAAACAGGTTGGACGTGTTGGAAACAGATCCAAGCTGGGTCAGTGACTGGCCAACAAACCCATGCAAATCATGTAATTACAGTAGCATACATTCACAAAAGCCCGGTCTTATTGCGCAAACTTGCTGGAGATTTGGTCTGATAGAGTATCTACACGTCAAAATTGTTCCAAAAGAAGTGCAAGTTCTGCAACCCTGACACTACCCACTTGACTTCCTTGCTCTTCCAAACGCCAGAAAACAGTGCTCCCCAAGCTTTTGAGCTCGCCCCCAAAACCCAACTCAAACATCCGGACCTTTCAACGGTTTGTCTTCAAATGGACCTTAACCATCAGTGGAACATGGACCCCAAACATCAATGGAACCTACCCAGGGTCATATGACCCTGCACCCAGGTGGAGACCGAAGCTTCAGCCAGGTGGAGAGGTCGATTTGCTTAGATAGGGTCGATTCTTGGAGGACATATAGATCAGCTCAGGGTCATGCTACCAGATATCTCCTTGGACGAAGGTTGGTCTGTTACATGGTGGACTGGTCGGGCTCGAGGTTTTGAACCCCCTGGTGCTGGGGTAGATGGACATGGAAAGTGGCAGAGGTTCTTCGACACTGGGAACGAATCAGAAGCGTCCATGGCCCGAAAACCTCCTTTTGTTGCTGCACAATCGATCAATCCGGCTGCCCGTGTCAGTTCACTGCACGGAGCGTTTGGCGGATCGTGATTGAATTAATCAGGTGAGAACCTGATGTTCGGAAACTGGCTCACAGAAATCTCTTTAAACACCGTCTGTTTACAAAGGCACATTCTACAAACTTAACATTTGCAAAGAACTTGTGCTCTGGCTCTGTGGAGTTCTTTGCCTAATAATGCTCTTAAGTACAACCAAAGTCTGGTGTCACTTTACTTGGGGAAGTTTCTAGCACGCTCTTGTCTCAGCTTGAAATCCAACACTCAGCCTGCAAATTAGCAATTAATCAGCTACTGTAGTAGCTATAAATTAAGCTTTATCCATGCATGCCTTTTGAATCCTCATCCACCCCCCAAAAACGCACACAATCCTGTCACAGGAAAACATACCAATTACATACCACAATGCACACGCACAACCCGCAAAAACTTACACGTTAAAACACTTACCCAAGATTGGTGAAGTGATGAAAATATATCCAATCGAAAACACATGAAAACAAACTTGCAGGTCATGTTCTTCAACATCGGACGGGTCGCGAGCGGTCGCCAGCGACTGGGACGGATTTCGACTGCGAGCCACTTTGCCGAGGACGAGAAACAATCGCATGTGACATGCAGCATCTGGAGTCGTAGCACATTGTCCAGCTCCAGTAAGAGGATCGGTCTCAGAATTGGGACCCCCCCACATGGTGACTGGTTGATTCCGAACTCCGAGTGCCAAGGTGCGATACGTGGCGTTTGTGGGGGGGCGTCCTGATTCTGAGAGACCCCAAAGTTCCCAAAGACTTCAATTTCCTGAAACAGTTCAATCTTACAAGTTCACTAGAACATAAGACTTAAGACATAATCTATCTAGACCTCCGTGATCTTGGAAAAAACACCTGATTAAACGTGTTTGTGATAGAAAACAAACAACATTGATACATGAGGGATGTTCCAGTTTGAATACCTCAAAAATTATTCTCTCCAAATCAATCTGCCAGCCTCTGCCCCGACAGGGATTGTCTCGAAACGGAAAAGACGTCGAGAGACACTGAAACACCGGTGTCTCGAAACAGCGTGCGACGTCGATTCCGTGAATTGATGTGAATCCAAAATCACCATTGCTATAGAATGTGAACTGCAACAGTAAGTGCATCTGACTTGGAAATTCAAAGATTTCAAAGGCAAAAGGATCCTGTTGGTTTGGACAGGTTGTGTTTCACTTGTCACCAAATGCAAAAACTTTTGGCAACGGATTAAAACTGAAGATAAACCTTCATGAGACCTCAACAAACCGGAGGCCTTCAAACAGTCGTGAATTGAACAATTGTATTTGTGGCTATGTCAAGTCACGATCACACATGACCCATCTTGATTAAGCAACCTAATTACGATCTTTATTATGTTGTAAAACTGTCCAGTCTTGAGACATCAGGAGACCATGGGAACAGACCAAATGGACCAGTTCAACCATCCTCCCTCTTCCCGGTCTTCCCCGGAGAAAGGGAGAAACGGTTCTTTCTCGGTCGCCGCCGAGCCCTCCCATGCCGAGCGCGCCGTTTGGCATTGGCCGTGCGTCGCGCGCAGTTCCTCGTCCTTCTGCAAGGCCTCGTGAGGAAGAGGGGCAGGCATCAGCAGTGGGGGTGTTTCAGAGGAAATTGCAGGAAACCAGGACCTTCTTGTCCAACCAAAGTGAGGTGCCAATATCGGAAAACCTGCGAAAATATATTTTCAGTGCGCTGATGTTTGCTCTAGTACTTCAATTTTGACAGCGTCGAAAGTTGGATATATCGACCCAAAAAGTCGGATTTGCCTGAAGGTGCGCGCAAAGGCACTCATAATCATTGAAACAAAATCATACGTCAGCTGAGGCAGTTGTATTTTTTGCACGGTTGAGATCTTTTGAGATTTCAATATTCGAAGAACAACAAAAACATCTACCTTCAGAAGGCCAGCTTCTTGGCGGTTGCAGTTTCAGTGACGTCAAGGTCACAGGTGAGCGGTCAGCTGAACCGAGGGAGACTTCCCGCAGATGCGGCACCTCTTCATTGGAGTGACCAGGAGCAACTCATCCATGTAGTGCTGATGGGAGAACACAGAATATTTGACCTATGATCAATCAACGCGCCCGAAAACCCATCAAAAAAAGTTAGTTTTTAAAAGTACCCCGCAACAAAGATTGAATTTAGTGAATCAAACAAATCTTTTTATCCATCTCTCTGGTGAGGGTTTTGAGATTTTACGTCAGCTCCTTTCCTCTGCCTCCGCCTCCGCGGCCGCCTCGTCCCCAACCGCCAGCTCCGGATGGCAGTGTTGCCCGCCGGAACGCCACCGCAAGTGCAGGATGTCAGCGTTCCACGCCGGACCTCAACCGCCAGCTCCGGATGGCAGTGTGCCGGCTGGCGAGCTCTGGCTGACCGGGCATCAACCGCGAGTTCCGCTTGGCAGCGTTCCCCGCTGGAACTCACCTCAGCATCTTCCACTCACTCCACCTGGAGTGAGTTGAAGGAGGCGGGTGTCAAGGGACCAGTCACTCTAGTCAAGCTCTCTACTTGCCTAGTCAAGCTCTCAAGGCTCACTTACAGCTCGAATGACCCAATGCCAGCCTTTCCGGTACTTGTCCGGCTCTTCCATGATTGGCAACGAAGGCCATGACAATGAAATTGATGACAGTCAGACAATGAAAACGAAGTGCATGAAACATGAGTGATGAACGCTTATGGTATGAAGTGTGGAGTGGTTGTCAAGACTAACTTTAAAACCATCTATTTTAGCTTGTGGTTTGTGTCACTCAAAAGTCGAGCCAGTCTAGTCAGGTCAGTCCAGCGGTGGTCAGTCCACACACTAACATTGTATAGTAACTACAGCCCAGCTTTAGCCCAACAAAGCAAAAAATCGAAAATGTCCGAAAGGCAAACCCAGACACCTGTACTGACGCTGAAATAGCTCTATAACCAAAACACAAGCAGCTAAATTTGCGTTAGTAACATAAGACACAAAGATGTAACCGTACACTCGAAACATCTTGAAAACACACCTCTATGCGCAAAGCTGTACGCAAATCTACCATTCTTGTATACAACCCAGTGTCCCAGTGGCGGTGCGGTGGAAAAAACCTAGCGGTCCCAGGTCATGCCAGGTATTCCCAGTCTTTGGCGCGTCGAAGTGCGAAAAGCTGCCATTGGGTGGGAACAAGCTGCCATTGAGGAGTTTGATGCTGCAATTTTGCGAATGGGGACACCCCTTTTGATCCCATTTAATTCATATCAAACAACAACTGATACCAGTTGGAACGAGATGCTACTTGAGCGCATCTCACATGTCTCGCACCTTTGCGGTTGCGGTTGCGGTGGTTGTGGTTGTGGTCGTGGTCGTAGTCGTGGTCGTTGGTGTTGGTGTTGTTGTTGCTGTTGTTGTTCACGACACCGTTAGTTAGCGACCGTTAAGTTGTGCAGATTTTTCATGACTTTTCAGAGGAATGCTTCCGCGCTGCTTTTGGAAAAACTTGGAGAGCACAAAATCAGAAAACGGGCCCACAGACCCTGAGCATCCGATATTGATTACAATCAAGAATTGAAAAGCGATATTGATTTCAATGTTTTTTCAATATAAAATATTGATTTCAGAGCCGGCCAAAATCAAGATTTTCTATTGATTTCAAAGGTCATGTTTGAACATCAAAAAGCAGGAGACAAAATCACGATCACAATCAATATCAAAATCAATATTTTCATAGCCACAACCTGCCCCAGATCCCTTCCACCCAACCAGCAAACACATCTTTTTTTTCACCCTGCATTGCCATGGGTGAAACTGCTGCTTTGGGTGAGACTGCTGCTTGTTCAAGCTCTTCTTGCCTTTTCCAAGGGCATGCTTTTGCAAGCAAGTTCCTTTGTCAAGGGCAAGCTTTTT